ACACCTTTGTTTTCATTCTTTGAGAGGACTTTACACTGATTTATTTTAATTGCCTGGAGGCGATATCCTACAATTAACCTCAACTGTAACTAATACTTACCCTAACCTTTATCTAAACCCTAAGATTACACCAAATCGTCACTGTAAAATCCAATGATTTACATAGTGGGGAGCACAAGGAAGGACTGCACGCACACGCACACACACAGTATATATTTAGCCAGCACCAGAAACTTTGAGGGGATGCTTTGAGTAACAGCTTCCTCAGAAAGATTAGTAAAGCTGCAAGGTGAGACGTTTCCATCTCTGACCTGAGAACCCATCTGGAAGTCTTCAGAGGAGAATGGACCCAGATACACAATGGAAGTCCCTGAGGTCTGCTATGCAGTGCACAATTTGAGCCTCCCCTCATTAATATCACTTGAGGAAAATAGGGTGGAAGGCAAAATTGTGTCCATGTGTGCAGCACAAAAAAGAAAAAGAAAAATGCATGTCACAGTGTGAGTGATACAGTATTGTATACGCATGGAACCACCACACACTGCTCAGTGCCTGTTGACCGCATTTTCCATCATGTGATCAGTTTGTCTGCTGCAATATTCTTTGACAGTTTCAGACCCTTTTCAGCACTCATGCACGGTCACTCTAATCTCTGGAACCAGCAGCGACTAAAGTATCCCTTCCTCTGCAGTGTCTCAATCTGCTTGCACGCAATAACATCTGGTTTTGGTGATGGTCTCAGCTGCACCAGCACTCTTGTATTTGTGTGTTTTTCGACTTTGCGGTTGCCCCCTTAGTGAGACACAGGGTGAGAGCTCATGGGAAATATGCACTCAGGCAACTGGCATCCTGAGGACACATGGGGAGGAAATGAAAACAAGATTTCTGATTATCTCATACAACATGATTGTTGGTTTAATTGGTTTTTCATTATACATGTGGTTTCTGAGTAGCTTCTGGTATCACTTGCAGTAAGGAGGAAGAATTTGGTTTATGATGATGTATTTGATAAGACCAGAGTGATTGATAACTTCCATAATCCAAAGAAACAAGCAGATTTATGTAAGTGCTTTTAGCTACTTTTGGATTGGTAATGTTGACTCAGGACAGGACTGAATGTCCAGTGTAATTAGTTTCATGATGCTAGCAGGGTCTTCAAAGGTATCCTGTAGATTTTTAAACCATCAGCACAAATGTGTTTCGTGTCTTCTCTGAGTATGTGTAGGTGTTGCCTCTTGTTCTTGTTAGTAGAACAAGGGCTACATACAAAGCATAGGCCCAGAAAGTATCCCTCAGCTGCACTGTATTTAGTACTAATTAGCAACATTAGCATGCTAAACTAAATGGTGAATATGGCACATGTTATCTACTGTTACATCAGCATGTTAACATTTTTATTGTGAGCACGTTACCAAACTTGTGTCAGCATTAATCTTAAACCACTACAGGGCTTTAGTTCAGCCTCACTGAGCTTTTAGCACATCTGGACTCTTGTTGTAAACAGAACACTGTGTTAGCAGTGAAGAGGCACTTCATCAGCTGATCAGCCCTCAGCAGTTTAGTTTATGCTTCAGCATCCGTGACCTATTGTTATGACAGCTGAACATCTACCAGCTGACCAGTGGAATCCAATCAGATTCACACAGATGTACAAAGCAGCCTTTATATCCTGATATGTCTCCCTATTACACCCTGCAGCAGTTTTCACTATCCTAGCTTCATTATGTGTTCAAGCTTTTAGTATTGCTGGCTTTACTAAGATCTAAAAGTCAATAATACACTCGCCAGTCACTTTATTGGGTACACCTGTACAATTGTATGCTCCTCATTGCAACACTTCTGCCTTAACATCTGTGTTTATGAAGCTGTTTATGAAAATGTGTTCGTTTTTGGTGAAATTGTCATAAATATATTAATTCAATTATATGTTTATTATTGAGGTTATAGTTAAAGGTGGTGGTGTACTGGACTACATTATATTCAGAGGTGTCTCATATTTTTGTCCTCCGCAGCTACATGCACGGGAGGGTCAGAATCTCTGCATTGAATTGCATACAATTGTACAGGTGTACCTAATAAAGTGGCTGGTGTGTGTACTGTGTATTTACAACTAGGTATATCTAAATTCTGTAAGAATTCATATGTTTATTATCCTTGCAGAATCTTCTTTGTTGTTTGTATTTCGTGACAGCTTCCTGAGAGATCGGAGCCTTTTCCACCAAATCTAACTCAATATTCATTTGCAATAAGTGGCCATTTCCTCGATGTCTCTGGCTGAATGTCATTACTGTAATTCTGTTACATGCACTCCATTTATGCCCAACCTTGTCCATGAGGTTTAAATGTGACTATATCCTATAACAGTATGTGCTGAAAGCAAACAAGCCACCGAATGTTCAAACCCTTTCACTGACCCTCAAATACAACACAAATCAATCTAACACCTGGCTGTGAAAAGGGGCTGACATAAAGCAAGTACTTTAATTATTTTTGTTGTTTGTCCCTGGGATTCTTTCACAACATCTCTGGATTCATCTCAGAGGTTCAGGAGATGTATATGCCCTCAGGGGCCTGGCAAGAAGCCAACAGGTTTCTCTTCAGATGGGTCTTGTTGCCCACAACTCACAGGCACTGTCTGATTTGCTTTTATGAAGGGCAATAACAGAACTGGTTGAAATAAACAAAAGCTCAGCCAGGTTTACTGTAGCCTGTCATCGGAATACAAGTCATTAAGGAGAATTTACAAGAGAAGGGAGGGATGCAGTCTGAATGTGAGAGAGGAAATGAGATTTATAAACAAAAAGTAATTGAAGGCCTTTCTATAACTTTAAACTAGATTATAGATGCCCTGGAGCTTTAAATGCTTGATGGTAATGCCTATCATAATGTTAGAAAGTGAATTGTAAATTGGTATATTTACAATTGTACAAGAGTTTTTCTTTTTCTCTCCTCCACTTCTTAAGGAATGACCTTAAGACCGGAGAGACCTGCTCCTTTGCCAGATTCGACTCAGACCAGAACCAGAATAAAACAAATCCACATCCCTCTCATCATCCCACCGCCGCCAACCAACCCCAGGCAGCCCAGCATGCACACAGTCAAGATCAGCCCGCCAAGTCAGCGGCCCAGCCCCAAGGTGGAGACGGTGGAGACGGGCGAGGCAGGACCGCCAGGGTACATCCGCAGGGTAACTGTACGGAGAGGCTCTGAGGACTCGTCTAGTGTGCCTGTCAAAGGGTTTGCTGGAGCACCAGGTGAGCAGAGTTAATGGTCAGCATGACTCATGGTGTTGTAGCTATTTTCACAGATCTGTTATTTTCTAATTTGTGTAAAAAACTGTTTTCACTTTTGTTTTAGTTTCACTCAAGAGCAAGTGGATTCCCTGCACAAGCCATGACTTGGCAATGCTTTAAATTATAGCCTACAAATTACAGAGTAAATACCAACAAAATACTAAAATACTATAGTTACCCAGTGGTATGCACAAAGGAAGAAGTATTAAAGGATAAGGAGGCAACACATTTATATCCATAGAAATAAATGTTAAATCCTTTTTACATAAACATATGAATAAAAAACATAACACAGCAGCACAGTAAAAGTTTATTTGAAAGTACAATATATATATTTTCCTCTGTAACTGTCTGCAGTCTTATAGAATGTCAGATACAGTAAACTGCTCCAGGTTGTTCTCTAGATCTGTTTTGACCGTCGGAGCCTACGTCAGTGTTTTGTTCAGCCTCTTAAACAACCTTAAAGTTGTTATTATTATTATTCTTATTCCCTGACCTCTTGTCATCTTCTGCTGTAAGTTTTATTTTTTGCTGTTGAATTATGATATGATTTAATGGTGAAACTGGAACCTGATCTCACAATGACAAAGTAAATTTTATGACATTCATTCATCAACATGTCTGGCACTGCACCGCATGTGACGTACTATACAAACAAATCAGAAATGATAAAACTTGGAGCTGAGCCTGGGTTTTGTTCTTATTAGCCTTTTTCACCCACAACAAAAGGTTTAATTATCCATTAATTATCCACACATAAGAGTGCTATACCAAAAAGGCTTTTGCTCTGAATTGAATTAGTGTAATTGAATTGGGTTAATTAACTATCTAAGCTGCATATAGGCAAGGGTGGCAATGGAGAAAACAATAAAATACAGGCTTTTGTTTTAGCTTTCACTTGGGCATGTTTTGGCAGCAGAGGAACAGTGACATCAGTCATGCTGCTACTGTGTACTGATTGTGTGGGAGAAGTTGTCATGTAACATTCCCATTAGTCCAAAATGTTACCCTGTGAAACAAGATGTACATTTAGAAACCCTGCACTTCTTCAGGCTTTGGTATAGAGTTGTTCATTTTGTCTTTCTTGGATTTATGTGGGACAGAAACAGGACAAACACCTGCAGGTTTAAATCTGTTTTGTTAAATTCATACCTTCTGTGGGAAACTACCACATGGGGTTTTGCCATACTGCTCAAATGGAAAACCAAACCACGGCCTCTTGTGAGAGTATTTGCAAACTCATATCTTCAGATAATGCTCCAACCTAATGTGTTTATTACCCGTTTCTTTTGCAGGCTATCCTCCTCTGCAGCCTGTGTCTTTCAAACCTCAGGCAACCACCCGTCAAGGTATTGTAGCAGTTTGTTATGAAGTTGCATTGCATGCATCTACAGGCTCTGCCATTCCGCTACATCAGGGTGAAAAAAGGAAAAGCTGTGAATAATTTGTAGCCTGGGAGTACAAGGGAGTGGGAACTGGATGTCTTTAGTTTAAGGATGTGTGGGTGGACTTGTATCGAGACACTTACCAGAAAGTTTTATCACGGGCTGCGTGGTAAATTTTAAAGTGATAGTGATGAAGGAAATAGTATTATTGGAATAGATATTAGTTATATTCACTGAAATGGTGTATTTTTTAACTACATTTCATAAATTGATTTTGTATATTCATTTTCAAAACATACAACTCGAAACTGACACGAATGAGACTGCTGCAGAAATAAAGGTGTCATTCCTTTCAGCTCATGGACATGACAGTAGCAACACACTACTTAACTCTTTCTTCAATTGTATCTTGTAGTTCCCATAGCAGCAAAAGTGCCATGGAACCTGATGTATCAAGCTCCACTTGATTCACCAGGTAGATTTCAGCATCAGATCATCTTTCTTAATTTTAGTAACTGCACGAGTAAAGAAAAAAGTACATTATAAAGTGAGAAATTCAGAGGATTTATCTTTGAAATTATGTACATGTACGTTTATGGGTCTAGTTTCAGTCGACAACAGCGCCTTTGCAGATCCCTTCTGCTTCTCCGCTGGCCTCACGCAGCAGCCCTTCTCTGGAGACTTTGGCATCATCCGCTTCAACAGGGTCCTAGTCAACGATGGTGGACACTACAATCCTCACACAGGTACACATACAATGAAACAAACAACGAAAGCAACATTTAACAGCTGAAAAGTCACTATCAATGAGACATATTGTAAAGTTCCATTCTGTAGCTTTAGGTTTGAAAGGGACATTGCTGCAAAGATGGTGGCTTGAAACCAACACTGCATACTTTCAACCCTGGCTTTAAGTGGGGTTAGGGGAAAGGGTTAACCCCTTACCCTAAATGTGGCCCTACACCTGCTGAGGGTGTGAACTTCTGGATAATAGTGACTAATCCCTGCCGAGGTCACCAGTCTGCTATCTTGTCTGCAGCCAGGGCCTCTTAAATTCTGGGTACCATCTACACGGCAACTGTAAATTGTTGTACATTTCTTTACATTTGACCTTAAGGACATTTTTCTCCGACAGCTGTTTTGAAGAACAAGGTCCAGGGCTCAGGAGCAATAAGCATTTTACTAATCTTTCCTCTACAGGGATCTTTACAGTGCCACTAGATGGCCGGTACCTGATTTCAGGCCTGCTGACTGCAAAGCAGGGTGACCGTGTAGAGGCTGTCCTGTCCGTGTCTAACCGCAGCATCCAGAGGTTGCAGAGCTCAGCTGCGCCTGGAGCTAGTCAACATGGGGGCTCAGCTGGTGGTAACTGTGGCTGTGAAGGCTCGGTGTCCTTCAGTCTAATCCTGTCCTTGAAGAAAGGAGACCGTGTGGGCCTGGTGAGGACTGGAGGCCAGCTGGCCACCACTGAGGCCAGGGAGATCCTCTCCACCTACAGCGCCATCTTCCTGTATGCACCACAGGCAGAAAGATAGCTGGAGCTCAGCTGGGCAGGAATAGCAAGGACTAGTTTGTTCCCAGGAAGCTAGACCAGTGGAAAAGTTGAAAAAACCAGTTTTCACTGACCTGCTGTGAAGCAGCTACTTCACTGCACAGTCCCGTTGGGGGAAGATTCTCCGCTATAAACTCAGTTAAGAATTAATTGTAATTTGTAAGTCACTGGCTAAAGCTCACCGAATACAGGCAGCAGTATTTGTTTCTAACAGATTATCAAAATGCTTTTTTGTACCTATTGTGAATGTCTTGTGTAAAAAATGTTTATAAATTAACATTAAAATAAAAACTACATGAACTTTAAACAAAAACCATCTCAGAGACTATGGTCTACAAATCAGTGGAATATAGGCTATTGTTAGGTAATAAACCTTGATAAATGACCTTAAGCTTGAGCTCACATCACCTTACTGTGTAATCTACACTGTAGAAGATTACAACTGTGATTAATAAACAGAAAGACAGTGAAGTGGAATTAGCAGCGACAACCTTAGAACTGCACTGATAAAAGCCAGGTCAGAAGGCAAAAACTCCAGTGATTACAATTGGCTAAGTCAAGAGGTTGTGGATGAAAAATACATTTTCCCTCTTCGCATCCTACAAGAATACTTCAAAAGCAGAACCAGGGAGTACAAATGTTAACTTGGCTGAGCTTCTGTTGACCTTTAATTAAAAAGAAAAACACTTTAATTTCATTTACAGTATAATAAATATAAAAAAAAAAAAAATCCCGATTCACATTTTTAAAAATCTTTCATATTTGTGTTTGGAACGACCTGGGGCATTTAAACTGCAAGAACACTATTAATGCATCTTAAAACCATAACCAACTGGATAAAGTTAGAAGCTTGAGGTCACTGTTGGACTTTAACACTCAGACTGGAGACAGGAAATGTGTAGCACACAGTTGTATTCATTTAAACTTTTATTTAATACAAATATGACCAGAAGCCACACTTTGTTAGCTTTATTAGGTCTATTTTTTTTTCTTACAATGGAATTTGTTCATTAAACAGCATACACTTAAGGTATTTCTGTTGGTCAGACAATTAAGTAGACTTCATAAGAAATAAAACAAGAAGGCGTCAGAAGACGAGAGAATGTGATGATCAGCATATACACTGGATCATTTTCCGCAGCAGTTAAGTGCATACAAACATATACCACGTATCCTAGGGTCAGAGAGAATGAAGTGTGATTCTTCCACACAAGATGTTTAACTTTCACAGAAAGAACGGAATTCTTTTTGTTAATTATAAGGTATATCTGACTTCAAACATCATACAGAACAAGCAAACAAATCTAAGCAAAACATGCATCTTAATCGTCACAAAAACATCGGAGCTAGATTGAATGTGGAAACACTTCAGCAAAATGACGGCTAATATCTGTATATACTGTCAACTGTGCTTTCCCCTCCCAATTAAATGCATTTCTCTGTCATGTCTTGCTCCTATGTGATTTGTAATCCTTACTAGGGTATTACTGTCACACTTGTGCTGGAGGGATGATCCACGTCAGTTAAGTGTCGCATCGTTTCCTAATTCACACATAATGCCAATTGAAGCGCTTCAAAAAGCTTCCTCTATGGAGTCAAGTATTTCCTGGTTATCTATGAACAAAAGCAACTGGCTCTTCTTCTGTTCAGAGGCACATAATCAGTCTTTTCTCTCTCTCTCTCTCTCTCTCTCTCTCACACACACACACACACACACACACACACACACACAGGTTAAGGGATGGTTCTGATACAGCTTCATGTTTTCCACCACTCCAAAGGGACATACCTGTTATTAATCCCCACAACAACTATTTCTATTGATAATTGACATATTCCAGAATAGCTGATTTGTCAGTGGTGCCAGAAAGTCACTCACAACAGAGGTAAAACTAGAACTCTTCATCTTGCATCAATTGCATACTCTGGTTTGACTATGAAGACCATCAGTGAAGTGCAGATGGGTGAGGGGTGTGCTCATAAGCAAAGGGTGTGTGATCCCATCACCAACATCATCAACAGCAGCAGCAGCACTCACTATTTAAGTATGTAGGCATGCATACACTTGCATCATCCCACAGTTGCCCTGCAGAGGACACTGCAAACAGAAATCCTTCATTTAAGCTCTTTCAGATCAGCCTATTTCCACTGTTCCAGAGAGTTATCTTTTACATTTACACACACATATTAATACTAAAGCCGCTCTTTGAGGTTTTCTTAACAATGTCTATGTGCTTTACATGTTCAAAGCTTCACTGTAAAACAAGGAATACATCTCGTTGTAAAACTGGATACAAGGCAAAAAAAAATCCATACACGTCCTAGTAGTTACTGTTAAGTGCATGTGTTACCTGTGATCAACCACAGAAAACATCGATATGAAGTACTTCCACATTGCATTGGTGTTAAATTACTTTTTCAAACAGAGGCATCATGACAGAAAATAACTTAAAGACAGCAATTATCATAAATAGTGACTGCATTGTTAACACACCACTTGCCAGAACTTGTATAACAAAATCAACACTAAAATAACAGCGAGACAATATCATGAAGCGGTTGCATTTTGCTGTTGGAGTCACACACACCAAAGTATCTTCACATACTTGTAAGTGAAAGTATATATCAAGTGTGACCTTGTACATCAATACCAAACATGACTCTGAAGGTCATCACCTTTCACCAGTAGGCGCCTGGAAATTAAAGACTGTATGGTTTGTAGCTGGCGTATTGTGCCACCAGCACCGGTTCACTTAACTTTTTAGGAACAAAATGAAGCCTCTAAATAAAGGCTGTATACCTGCATCAAGGCAAACACAGGAAAGTATCACTGGCACATAACTAGTGCCTTGCGTTAATTGCCTTTCCTGTTTAAACGGTACCTTTTTCACTTCTTCAAGCTGTTCAGAAGAATGAGAAAAAGGTGATTAAAGAAAGCTTCTTCTGCACAGCTCAAACTCTAGTGCTAAGGGCTTCTGTCACTCCCTTGACTGTAAAAGCAGAGCATCCTGTCAGACGCTTCAGAGAAAAGGAAGCGTGGCTCTGATCTTTATCCCTGCACAGAGTACAAGAGTGCTCACTGGGTTCCAATGCCTCCACAGGCAGGAGGAAAGATGATAATTTGACTGGTAATTAGCCTCTTGTCTCTCAGGGATGGGGTTTTTCAGCAATTCCCCATCAGGATTTACTTTACTGGAGGTAACTTCCACTCATCACTAATGGATAATTAACAGTTTACCAGCTTTTGCATTTATGGTTATAACCCTGTTACTGTCACACCCGCTGGCGTCTTGTGCATCTTGAGTGCTATGGAGGGATGTGGTTCCAGTCCATGCGTTTCCTGGAGATGCATTCAAGTGCACGGTCCAATTGCATGTGTTTCTATACCTGTGTGTCCACATGTGCTGGATCAGAGCAGCTCCTCGGGGCTGATGTCTGGTATGGGCTGTCTCCAGTAGCAAAATGAACTGTACTCTGGCATGAGAAAGGCCTCACTCTGCTCTTTACACAACAACGGGAACACATGCTCCACAAGCTCACTAAGTCTGCCATAACTACGGAGGAAAGGACAAGATCAGAGACAGAGTAAGTGAGGACACAGAGAGAGGCAGGTCAGATCTGTTAAATATGAACCATTAAATACTGATATATGGAACAATTATTGGAGATTAACAATTGAAATTTACTGAGTACAACGGCAATTTCTAAATGCAAAAATAAAGCTTAATACTGCATTTTATAGCTACTTGTACACAATGCTAACATGGTATTACCTTGTAAAGTTCGTATGGCAAACATGTTTGCAAACTCTTGCCTATTTACACATCCAAACATTGGCATTAGCATTTCTGGACAGATGACAAACTCTTTTTTGAAGCTTTGTTTTATGCTCTACAAGGTCCTGAGGCAAATATCTGGCTCTTTAGCTGTTAAATGCTCCAGTAATTTCACCAGCTAGTTGCTAACTTTGTCTGCTGCTGGGCAGGTAGTGTACAAGTCAGTTAATCAGAGCTTTTGGTTGAAAACGAGGCTGATGAGGTGTGAGAGTAAACCACAACATTAAAGCAGTGGCTCCTAAAGCCAAAATAAAAATGCTGAAAGATGCCACAACACTCCACAAAGCTTTGCAGAACTGCAGAGTTGACTGACAGATTCATGCAGGTTCCTGACTACGACTGACGCCTTTCACATTTCAAAGATAATTTCATTAATTCTTAAAACTAATTATTGATTAATGCATCTAAGATTTTTTTCCCCCCACACTCAAAATGTGTCATTTGGTGGATATTTTAGAATACAATGAGTGCACACAGTTTTGGAACTTGTAGCACTAATTCTGATTGGGAATATTGGCACTGAGACAGACAAGACCAGTGTGTTTGTGCTTACGAGGACTTGTTGCCCTTGGTCTGTTCCTGGATCAGCTCTCCCTTGGGGTTAACGGTGAAGATCCTACAGACTGGAACTCCTACCTCCTTATATGCAAACACGTCCTATATGAAGGCAGAATGGATCAGGACTTAGTAAGTGATCTAACTGTTTTAAAAAAAAAAAAAGGTAGCCACTAATATTAATAACAGAGGACTTAAAATCGATTGTTTTTCATTGCTAGCATTAATAAGCACAACACAAGCTTGTACTTTCAAACTATCATTTTTCTTCTTAGATAAATTATGTTAATTGTCTTATTTGTATAAAAAGCAAAACATGATTTAGCCATCTGAGAACACACTAGTCTTTAGAAAGCAGCTCTCATAGATAACACACATTGATACAGACCAACATAAGTGCATTATAACTTCACAAATTTCATGTTTCTGTTCCACCTACTGCACGTAATGGAAATATGTCTAGACTCATTGCTTTGGAGGGCAAGTGTAAAACTGTGCATGTTCTTTTTTTATGTTGTGTTTTTTGGCGAGCGTTCGACAGACACCGGTTTGATGGATTACCCGGTGCTTCATCGGGATGATGGTGTTTATGCAGCTGAAGATGGGATGCTGGGCCTGGGTGAGGCTCCTTCCCACAGGCAGTCATATGGGACCATACTCTGCCAGTGACCTCAGCTCTGGTTTAGCCAGATTCTGATTTCATATGTTTGTGTCTGCTAATTGATGGCCAAGCGTCAGGCTGATCTTACAATACATCATGACTACATCAACTTCTGGAAAATGGCTCACTGTCACGTAAAAGCAAGTGCTTTAATGTCCTGAGTCTGACATCTTCAAGCATCTATTAACTCACATTAGCTCTATTCCCAAAGGCGGCGTAGAATGGCTGCTTGTTATGCTGGAACAGGTTCTTGATGTCTGTAAGGCATTCAATCTTGAAGATCTCTGGTTTCTTCTCAATGACTTCCCTGAAGGAAACGGACATTCTCATTAGAGCAACACAGATACAGTATTGCATGCCCTTAAAATGGATCCGCTCTGAGTTTGTTAACTTGGCCAAATTTAGTTTCCCATATAGCTTTTTTTTTTTTTCCTGGTATCTTTTGATTAGTTTGTTTTTTCCCCTTTTACATACATTAAATATACATATAATAAGCATATAAAATTCAGTTCGTGCTATTCTGTTTGTGTTGTGTGCATATTTTAGCGTGATGGCAGGAGCTGGGTACATAAATTTAGTGATGCCAACCAGCCGCTGACATTTATGTCCACTAAAAGCTTTGACAATATGAAAAGTGTTATGTTAATGTCAAGTTAAACAACTATATCACAGTTCATTTAGAAAACTAGTGCAGCACTGAATAAAATAAAAAATAGATCAGCTACATCCTGCAGTAAATCTTCATCAGGACCAATCATTCTTGTATTGGCTCACAGCTAAATTGTGCAAAGAATACAAAGCACCTTTTTCAATGTCATTTGGATTAAGTTGCCAAGATTTTTATGTTAAAACATAGTTAAATGAAGACTTAACCAATCTTTGTGAAGTCTCACAGTTGTTCAGAACCAACTGTTAGAACCAGGACATAAATCTACAAATTACATGCTTAACATGAGTACAGGAGTTCTAGGAGCTGACAGCAAGGCTACCAACACATATCACACCCATTTAGTTGGACTTTCATGAGTTTGAGTTTTCTGTAGCTTTAACAGCTTCAGCATATAAAAGGCTTATTATAATGAATGAGGATCTGGAGAGTGGGGAAGGCTGAGTCAGAGAATCTTGAGGCTATTTAATGTGAAATTCAGTTTGCAGACAAAACAGGATTTAAGTTTGAAGAAGAAAAATATGGGGTTGTTGGAAAACAATATTTGCAGATAAGGAGGATTTAATGTATGTGATGACTGCTGGGAGACAACAAGTATTTGGCTTTAGAACACAAACAGGTTGTTTCTAGTGTATGTACCTGTGGAACGCTGAGAAGAGGCTGCTGGGAGACAACATGAGAGGTCCCTGGGGCAGGATGGTGCCTCTATCATTGACCCACTGCAGGTAACCTCTTGTCATATCCGCCATGCCGATAGCCCGAGCTGAGCAGTACAAAAACTTGTAGCCATTCCTGCCAACAGAGAGAGTGGTGCTCAGTAACTGCTTTTCCACTGCATTTTAATACCATGACCATCATTAGCACCTACAAAAAAATATCAGTTTAATTAGATCAGTTATATTGGTTCCTTTCATTATGTGCAGACGTCATACCAATTACATGATAATTTTACTGAGGAAAGATTCTACTTCCTTACTGCCTATGGTCACTAGTGCCTATTTGCTCCTGTGTGTGTGTGTGTGTGTGTGTGTGTGTGTGTGTGTGTGTAACTAAATGAACAAATATGGTCAGGGTTTAAGTTTTCACACTTATAAAAACAAAGTACCAAATGGTCAAATACTGACATGGAGATTAACAGTGTTTCTACAAAATTCTGTCTTGATTACAGCAAAACTTAGTCACTCACCTCAAAGCAGCCCACACAAACACAGGGACAAAACATCAGCTCCACAGAGCCACGGCCGGGAATCAAATCCAGACAGTGCTAACCACTGACCAACCACTATCCTTCCTCTGTGATTAATCAGTGTTGTTGTGCACTTACTCGGCTACTGAGTGGTAGAGCTTGGCAATGCCCTGGTGGGTCCAGTCCTTCCCCAGCTGTGGCAGGATCTGTCCAAACACATCTGACCTAAAACATTCAAATATTTAATGACACAATGACAGAGATATCCCCAGCTACAGTATCAGACATATCACTCAGAGGAGTATGTGTGTGAAAGAAAATACAGCAGATCGGCAGTACAGACGGGTCACATAAAACTCCAATACAATTTTACCATTTCATTATAAATAGAAAACTGTTCTGGGCTGTTCTCAGATAATGAGGATTACCGGCCCATGGGCACAGTCTCAGACTCAGCTTATGGCAATGTGTGCTTGCAGACTGAAATGTAAATCCGCTCATTATAGTGCCTGTGCTCTCTGCCTTGTTATTCAAACAAACCTACGTCACAGGATGGCCTAAAGGGTCACACGGATAATAAGCTGCAGTTAATCTGGACCTGTTTGATGTTGACCAACTCTGAACCTTACAGAGCGGGCATCTGAAAGACGGTAGATGACAGTTTTGGCCAGCTCCAAGCTAATTAAAAAGCTTAACATGAATGGAATTGGATTATGGCCTTAATATGCCATTTTAGAAGGACTCAGACATGTCTGTGGCAATAACATTGAACCATGACACTGCACAAAATGTCAAAAGGAGGGAAAAATATGTAAAATTATCCTTGGTTTCTCTTAACTCCACATCAGGGGTCATCAACTATATCTACTCAAGGGCCAGAATTTTACTTAGTGGGGGCCGAACTTTCAACAACAACAACAACATCTAATTACCATAATGTCATTTTTATTGTCCTGCATCAGTGTGAACCAACACCTATATACTAGCCCTACTTGAGTGGTAGAATGTTAACGTATGTGAACCAAAATAATAATAAAATGAAATACTCAATGAGAATATGAGTTTATCCCTATTCTTGCATGAAGACACAGCACTAACCCCACTCCATTCATAAAAGGCAAGACTTCTATACTGAGGACAAGTGGTCCATTCGGCACATCCCACAAAATAACAGGAAAGCAGCTCAACAGCTGTGGTAAATAACAAATACACTACAGATGTCCGGATCCTGACAGCAGGTAAAATCAGTCCGACCTCTCTTTGCACCGCTGTCACTCACTGTTTAGTTAGAATTTCCTCAAATGAGCCACTTTTACAAGGACACACATTTACTTCTTCGATGTGGATATACATTGTGTCTATTTTTGTATTTTATGACGTATGATCCAAACAAAAGCAGATGTAGGTGGAGATAAAATGGACAATGTATTTAACAGCCTACGCTCTCCTGCGGACTGCAATCTGCTTCTGGCAGATGACCACTTTTGATACAACACCATAAAGACAGTGATAACAATATATTTTTTATTGTATTATTTTTTAAAAATACCCCCAGGACCATAGTTTTCCCTTCTTCATCGTGTTTCTGTAGGCTCCTCTGTGTGCTTTTTGTACAGCAAGTGCTTCCAGTGCACCCAGTATAGGACACAAGCACAAGCAGTTGAAATCATCAGAACTCCTAGTTTTCCAAAAAGCCAGTTTGCTGTCACAATTTCTACCTACCAAGTAACACTATAAATATAAGGCATCATTACAGGCAAGAGGCATTATGAAAATGTTACTTGGATACACATACTTGGTGATGGTGCCATCAATGTCAGAGATAATGACTTTGTCATCCCAGTTCCATAGGTAGATGGTGCCCTCACAGCGGCATGTGCCCTGGTATTGGGTAGTGATGCTAAATGTCACATCATTAGGTCCCTCCTTTAGTTTCAGACTGGCCTAGTAACACAAAAAAGTGGAGGCATTTGTGTAGGGATTGCTATCCAGTGAGATTCGTTTTGCCACAGTACAGTGACCATGTACAGGTCTTCAGAGCCCCCTACAGACTCTAAATGGAGTAAACACATGCAATCCACAGTTAGCCAGCAGGGGGAGCTCTAAACTACAAAATAAACCATTTAAGGAATAAATCCCATTGACAACAATGGTTTGGGTAATCTGATTATTCTTCTCATTCACTAAACTACTTTTCAAATAAAAATGAAGATAAATAAGAGTGCAACTTAATAAATATGTTAAGTTGCTGGGCAATAGAATGCTACACTTTAAAATATATTAGAAGATTTTGAGGAAGGAAACATACTATATGTAAGAATGTACTTACTATCTGATCAGAAGAGAGGCGTAGTGACTTCCTGTATGTGTGGCTCGGGTGGTGCTGCCCATCTACTGGCGGCAGTCTCTCTTGACAGGATGCAGTGCTCACCTCCTTGGCCTCTTCATCACTAGAGGAGTCTCCTGCTTTAGGCCTACACAGAAACAGTAACAGTTAAGTATTCATTTTTCTGACTGATAAATTCTTCACAAAACAAATTCACTAAGCAAAATACAAAAGGTTTGGATTGTACATGTCCTGAGACTTGACCTGTCAACTTTGTTCTCTTATAGTATAATGTGATTATGCTGAGTGGTCATAAAAGAATGGGTTTATAATTGTGTGGATGTTTTTTACCATGGCATGAGTTTACCCTATCACTGAATTCACTTATAATAATAATAAATCCTTGATATCACTTACGGTAAGGCCACTTTCTCCTGAGAAATAGAGGGTCCTTCCTCCTCCAAATGAGACTCATCCTTGGTTTCAAGCTTAGTTTCTGACTGCAAAAATGAAGGGAGGAATTCTCAAGACAGCAAATCAAATTTCTGAAAACAAGACTAACCACACTGATGTAATTCAGACTAGAAAGAAAAACTGATTTGACACACACCTGCTTGATTGTACTATCCGCTCTCTTTCGCCAGAACCACCAACGGCCTGACTTCTTTGGCATTTTCTCTTTCACCCACGCCTCCTCTGTAGCCTAGTATAAACAAGAAGACAAAAGCAATAAACAGTGAGGTAGCTGCCAATTTACACAGTCATCCGCAGTTACCAACAGTACACAGAACCAGATGTAAAAATAAAACCTCATTACCTTTGGCAAATTCTTCTGAAATGCTTGTAGACTTAAAATCAAGGGTGCAGCTAGAGCCCAGTTATAGTATCTGAGGACACAGAAATTAGAGCCAAATATTGATCACGCAATAAAAACACATCTCGCCTGTGAAATTAAAATGCTTGCTTACCTATTTCCTATCTTTACTACCAGGTTGGGGTTATCTATAATTGCTGGATTTTCAGCAAACTCATGATAGGTGATGATATGCTCCATGAACCTTTCTGCAAAAACAGAAGGGAGAGGGACATTAATTAAAGACAGATGAAAAGGTCAGTGATGGTGAGCCATAACATCTTACTTAAAACCACAGAGAAAGGTCAAGAAACCTTTTCTTTCACCAGCCACATCAGCAAAATGCTTCTAAAAACACTTCAGAAGAGCTTGTGTGTTTTATTTTAGTGACACAGATAAAAATCAGAAAACTGAGTGGCTGAAACATTAAAGAGCTGCTGGGAATGAGTATAATACAGGCATGTGTGGCCTTAAGAGAAATGAATGGCTAAACAGTTTCCAAAGTGACTAATACAGTGAGAAAACTTTGTAATTACACAAAGAATTTAGCAGATTTGGCAGTTTACATCTAATGGCTGAGGTTAACTTTGTCTTACATAAATACCAAGTGCACTGTAAACTGCATTTTTTATGATGTACCTTTGGATATTTCAGCATTTTCTGTGAGGCCTCCACAAAGAGAAAGGGTGACGTCAGGGAGGTCGCTGGCGGAGTCAGAAAGACACTCTGTCCCGCTGTCAGCTGCAGCACTTCCCACTGACTGTGGAGACTGTGAACCAGAGTGCATCTCTGTGTCCATCCAGTGCTTAGTGGCTGCCTCCGACTCACTGGAGCAATAGAAGAATACAATCTTTAAGGCCTTCTGTGTTACCATAGATGTTTGGTCAGTTTTAAAACTGACCAATTTAACTTTGTTTTTTCCATTAAAATTTATAAAAATTGCATTGCCTCTTCCAAGAGCTAACCTCTTAGGGAAATATCGTGCAGCAACATCAGGTTCAAGTACTTTTAGGTCATCTAGGTAGATATCCTCAGGACCCTGATGCTGACTCCTCTTTGGGACACCTGTGGCCAGCAACATCATTACTTATCATTTCATGTACTTCATAATCTGATAAGGGTTGGCTAGGAAAATGACCTAGCTTACCTTTCTTCTTAGAGGGTGAATCGCTCTGTTGGCTGTTGGAAGGGGTGGAGGTTGCCACATTGGGTGGCAGTACATCCAGGGGCTCTATGGATGTTAAAGAACTCACGGAGGTCACAGCGCTGACAGATGCTTGTGGGTTTACAGGTGCTACAGTGTTGACAGGAGTGCGTGGCTCTGGCTTGACAACGGTACATAGTGAGGAGGAGGCGTCACCTTCCTCTGCAATCTCTGTAACGTTGTTCATGGCCTCAGAGCTGAGGATGACGCGGAAGTGGGTGCTCTCTGATGGAGTGATGGTCACTGTTTTTAGTGGCTCTGGTTTCTCTTTTTTAGTGACCTGGATATTTGGATGACAAAAAGGATACTATTAATATGTGAACACCAAGAACTATTATGAATTCTGGTTGAGAAACATGGTTACCCTGGTTGTTTCTGGAAACTCTCCCCAGGTCCACTGCATGTGGGACTCAGCTCTGAGTAAACTCTCTGAGGGCGTGACCATTAGTTCAGAGTCACTCTTTGGGGAAAAGCCCTGAGACAGGCTATGACTAAACAGAAAGATAAAGAAATGCAAAGAGTTAATAAGATAAGAGTCTATTTACATGTTTCTGCTGATCAAGTCAGTATATACACCTGTCATCTGCTGGCAAGTCCCCGTCAGACAATGGATAACCATCAAGGCTGTGTCTGGCTGCAGGTAATTTTGGATCAATGTCACGTATTGTGGTTGCGGAAGGTGACCTAAATGGAGGTTGCACAAGATGCATAAAAATTATCCAATCTATATAAAACAGGTCTTGTGTATAATTTTTTTTATTTTCAATTTTAATTTAATTAATAACTAATTTTATAGGAAAAATCACTGTTCCTGAACCCACCTTGAGATATGTGCTGCAGCCTCTTCATCAGAACTCAGGTCCATCTCAAAGATCTCCTCATTTTGCCCGGTGCTTGACATAGCAGCATGTGTAGCAGCAGATACATTAGCAACAATACCATTTGTTGCAGCAGTATTGACTGACATGGGCAGGGTCATGTCCTCTCTTCGGGGGTCTCCCTTGTGCTTCTTCCGCCGCTTCTTCTTCTTTTTCAAAGCCACAGTGCTGGGAGCAGGAGGCTCAGGCGCATCCTCTGGGTCAGCGGGGTCATCCTCCACATCTTTTGGTACCCTGTCCTCCACCTCCGAGATCCAAAACAGGTGATTCTCAGTGGGGATTGGAGAGGTGGCCAGATGGGCAGGAACAATCTGCTAAAGGATCGAGTGAGAAAGTAGGAAGGTGAGAATTAGGATACGTTTAAATATGTGCAAACCAAAGCAGCATTAATGATCCCTAGAGTCAGCATCTTGAAGCCTATGACTCAGGTCCAGCAGAGCAGGGTCATCACTGCTGAAATGTCACAATAAGAGCTTAGAACGCTTGAGCAAAACGTTACCAGTCAAATGTAGGAACTTAACAGTGGAGTAATATTTCTTCACCCAACACTGCCATACACTCGTTCAATGCAACAAATTATAAACCCAGAAATATGTTGAAGTGTAACAAAAAACTAATTTGCAGTCCATTCAAGTTTCACTACTAAAATGTACCAAAATATTTCAGAGATGCTTACATTCTGCTGCTCAGCTTCCTGGACAAAAAAGGCCTCTCCATTGTCGCCAAGCTTCATGTGCAGGTCTACAGGCTCTCCGTTCACTTCGATGTCAATCTGAAAGAATTTGTCAGAAATGACAAGTTGATACCTCTTGGCCAACGTAAAAAAGGGCAGGACTTGGGCTTACTTGTATCCATCTGTGTGAATCTGATAGTGCCCTTTTAATTAGACCTAGTTTTATTATACTTCCAACACTGTGTCAGGACACAGAGAAAGTTGGCAGCTACTGAAAGTCCACAATGTCTATTGGGGCTTTTACAAAATTTATGAAGTGTATCAGTCCTCTGGGCTTGCATTATGCTGAGCCTGCCAAGAGAACAGGGCCATTCATGTTTGTCAGTCAAACTCTGAACGGACCTAGGGCCACTCAGAAACTCGACATCGCAAAAACCAGGTAATGTCTGGCAGGGGCAGACTTGGACTCAATTTGACTCTGCTGACGTCCTCTGCTGCCAGTGTGGTTTCTCACCAGCCCCCAAATTTAATTCCACCCTCTTGGCATTGCTAAAGGGAATTTATGCAGTGAGTGGTGGCTTAGAATGTAAATGCAATTAATAATGAGCTGGAATAAATGGAGGGTCCTCTTCAACCTTTCACAGTCAGTGACAGGTTACATTTCCTGGAATGGCTGAGTTGTGGATTACTGGAGGAAATTCAGGCATAGTACTGGGTTATTTCTCTCTGACAGCAAGAGCCAATGTGAGTCCTGAAGCTCATATTACGTTCCATGAAAAAGAACAGTAAATAGAAGAACTATTTAAGTATGACTGAGTTTAGCGATTATCCTGGTGATTTTAAAGTTAAACAGAACTTCAAAATCATTTGATTGCCAACTAAAGTGACAGCCAAAGTTAATTCGTATTTGGCTGGTGACTACAGTTTAATTCCTAATCAGAATTTAAAAAAAGAATCTGCATTTTAGAAACAAATATCACATAATTTATTTGGTCCAGCACATTCTAGGAAAAAATACATATATTTAACAGCAGCCCTTGTGGATCTGATAAGTGATCTCAGGGACACATCCATAGCTTTGTTACACAACAGCCCTGTGGAGCCCTCCTGCACGCTTCCTCCCACTCCCACACATTCAAGTTGAGCTGTTGCCATAGTAACCACTCATTCATTCCTCCCCTCTGAGCCCATCAGCATTCTGGGTAGGTGGTGAGACAGTGTAAGCCCCAAACAAATCATCGCCCAAAACCAGAAGCAAGTGAATATGCTTCTTCAAGTCAAAGCACACCATCACTGTACTAAGAATAGAAATCATGAACAAGTTCATCATTCATAGTGATGTGGGGGGAAAAGAACATTAATTTACAATCTCATTTTATTCATTACCATTTGAGAATATTCTTTCTGTAATCTTCATACACTCAAGTAACATTAATTATACTCACTAAACAGGTTACGCTCACCAATACCAAAGCAGTTTTCCATTACAATTTCCCATTTAGCCCTACATCCACTTACTACTACTGAAAAGCCTTGCTCTCCCAACCCATCAACTAGGCCAACACAAAGGTGCTACAAAATTTTCTCCAGTGAGGAGTTCTATTAATAACACTGTTCCTTAACCATGATTAAACTGGATCTTATCACCAGACAAGAATACTGTATATAGTAACAGCTACTATCAGAGGGTGTAAAGAAGACAAATTTGCTATACGATTCAAAGACTCTCCATTAAAGTTATTAATTTAGGCAGAATCCCCAGATATTAATATTGAAAACCTGTGTGGTTAACGGGGCAGGCACACAGATTATCTAAGCAATGAATATATTTTATGTTTATTACAACATGTAGTTTTAATTTATATGAAACCAAAACTGAAGTTAAGCCTAGCTTCTTCAAAAACAAACAAAACCTCTGTAACCCTTATTAAATGTGATATGACCCAATACACCCATAAATGCTGGGTCAAACTATAAACTGTCTGTTTACAGTTTACGATCACTCTATTCAATATTGACCTATTATCCACATTAAAGATTCATTGAAAGGAAAGACAATGTGACCAGATGACACAGTGGTGCTCCACACTTAAAACATGGCTTAAACATGTCATATTTTTAACTTACCACTTTCTCTTTAGAGCGTAGAACACCCAGTTTGCCAAAGCGCACATGAAATGGTGAGCAGTGGTAGGTGCCATCTCTCTGACGGACAACCACAACATCGATGCAGCCTGATAACGTGGCCTGATTAATGCCCTTATACAGTTCTTTGACCGTTACCAGCACCTGACCTGCCAGCTGGCCCACGTAGTTCATGGTGTCCACCTGAAAAAGGAGGGAGAACAAATATTAGCTGGGTTAAGAACCAGACAGGATCAGGACCTAGTGTTTACCAAGACCATTTGGGTTCATCATGGATGTGAAATGTTTTCACTTCAGTTCTCTTGGTGTTTTTTTTCCTGAGCCGTCTCTCTGGCTATCCACTGGCTTTTCTTTTAAGTATCTTGTTCCAGACAATCAGGTTCTTATTTGTCTTTTTCTTTCATTTCTTAGACCTCTCACTGCTTGGCCTGCCTGCCCGTGTGGTGTCTGATCTCCCAACCTGCATACAGCTGACAGTGCACCACTGTTACCCTGTCACTAGCAGCTGTCCCACATGAGCAACATCAGAGGCTGAAGCAATAAGAGAACCTCATGCAAGAGCTCCCACTGTCCTGCCCCATGAATGCAACTGGGCCTACAAATGTAACTCTGCTACAGACAATGCCAAAAAGCTATTGTTTTGTGGTTACAATTACATGGATTTGGATTAACTCTGCACACTTTCTAAAATTATTCTGCCACTTGGAGGAAGCCATTTGGTAGACTATACATTATTTTGCAAAGCTGCTAAATCACAGAGAAGCTACACACAAGCCAAAATTTACTGTGGCGCTTTTACTGAATTTAGCAAATAATCTAGTTCACCATCATCTGTGCACCATGACGCCAAGTGCCAACAACTATTATCTTAGCAAACGTGGCTTTGGTTTACTCAGGTCAGGGTTGAGTTTAGTGGGGCTTGTAAATACATTTCCCTGCTGACTTCATTGGGTTTATGTAACCTGAAATACACCCATCTCACACTGACCTTTTGTTCAGAATCATGAGAGCAGTTGGTGGTTGGGAGGGGGAGGGGGTTGGGGTAAAAGAGTAGGGGCATTTATACAAGGCTGGCATCATAGAATTATGGACAATGTCATATTTTTACCCCATGAGTAGGTTGATATCTGTCATATCAGATGTGCAGGGCAACTCTGAATAAACTGTCACACTTTTAGCCAACATAGAAAGGTAAACATCATGGAAATCAAACTCTACAAAAGGATTTCATGATGTCTTCTGTCAACAACAATCACGAGGATCTCAATCCTAAAAGCTGTGCCCCACATTTGACCTCAAAGAAGATGGCCTTTTGGTTACTCTCAACAAAATACTCATCTGGAGAATGACATTAAAGTACAATCTGAAGGAAAACAATCAGTCAAGGGCCAAAAATCTAGATTAGCTAAAATACTGGAAATGTCTGTTGTTCTAGATTTTATTTTACAAACTTATACAAATGGTCATAAGACACACTGCATGTGTACTGTGGTTTCCTCATCCGACCTGAAGAGTTCATACCAACAAAACAAAGTGAAAACTCAACAGCGTATTCTCTCCACAGGAACAAATGTTTTCTCGAAAAGGGAACTTCCCAGGGTAACTTGCTGATGAACAGGGGTGATATGCGCATTTACCTACACAATCTGTCACAGATTTCATTCAAAACACATTACAGTGTTCAATGCAGTGATGACTCGTACAGAAAGGTCACGCAACACCTAAAAACCAAGATGAAAACTGTAAAACAGAGATAATCTGTTATCTCAGAGTGACCAGGGAACTAAAACAAAGAAGCAACAGCTCTTAACTGCAAAATGATTTCACTGTGCCATTGTCAGGTGTAAAAATGTGCACACGGCAAGCTGGTGATCCAGCCTCTGTATGTTGCAATCGTACTGTATTTCTAGAAACTGAAAGAGATGTTGTTTTTGGCATAATTACATGTTATGAATTTGAAGCACTTTCACTTTTATTTTGACACCAGAGTAGCATACTGGAGGAACATTAAGTCCTCCATTCCTGTCTTCTGAACACCAAGACCAGAGAGACACGGTATGAAGTCCGTCAGAACAACAATGCTCCAAACATTGGTAAAAGATGATTATTAATTTGAGAACAGTCTATATTAAAGACACCCTTATGCAGGAGCTGTCTGGAAAGGTGTCAGTGTTTAGTTAACCAGAATGAAGTCATGTGTTAAACATGCTTTACCTGATGCTACACTTTTTTTTTTTTTCCTTCTGAGTGTCAGCCCACAAAAAGAAGTGCACACAAATAGCTAAATTAACAGAACAGTCTTGGGATTTTAGATTTGAGGATACCAGCCTGAATATTATTTTGACCATCTCAAATACAAATGCTGCTGTCGCACTCTCTCCTTTAACAGTCTAACTTATCCCTAAAAACATTCATGAACGTAGCCCTGAAACTTACATCACTGTAACCAGGTACCAAAGCCACTAAGCTTGGCTACAACAATACATCTATAAACCAAGCAACATCTCAAACAAAACAATGCAAGATGACTAAGCGTAGTAGCCCTCACAATGGCAGGCCCAAAGACCTGTCAACACTGACTCACCAGGGACCAAGACGACCTCTGAGACGAGGACTCATCCTGTTCACTGTTGTCGGTGTTGCTTCCCAGAGACTCTCTGTGCACCCAGGATCTCTGTCTCTTCATCACTGTTAGTGGAGTTCAACCTCTTACCTTACTGACCTCAGGATACTCCACTGGGACCAAAGTTTTCTCTCCCTCAGATTATGATGGTAATGCCCTCCTGGCATTCTGAACCCAAAATAACCATTCCAGGGGTGAAAGTTGTTATATCACTTCCCAATGGTGCAACACTGTTATAAATTTTTTAATCCTGCCTGTGGACTATCTTTTGCAGGATACACACTTGTGTTGATCCAGTCAGCTGACAGGACACAACGTGTTCAGCCAATGGGATGGCCTCTTCAAGGTGGTGGTATATGGCTGATAAGGGACATGTTTTTTCTCTGATAAGACTACAGAGGAAAAAAAAAAACCAAGAAGCTCTGCATCATGATGTGCTTGCACAATCACATGTATGGTACGATCATTGCAGCATCAGCTTGTTATTATTGATGACTAATCAAAATGGGGGGCCATGACACTGATTGGCTGCAGTAATCAATCAATGAGATATTTAATACATTGGATTTCAGCATGTTGATCTTTTGCTGCTCACTACTCTTGAATTTTGATATCCTGGACATGTGAACATAAAGAAACCGGTGAACTTTCTGAAGGCATGACCTGCAGGGAATCATCTATATTAAATAACAAAACAGCTTGCTAAAATTAGCCCAAATGCTAACATGAGGCAATAGTTCCTTATCTACACTCAATACAGACACTTGTGAGACTGTATTGTAAGCAGTGATGGATTCAAAACATGTTGTTGTCATCAGGAGGTTCTCGCTGACCCAGCTTCAGGAATCCTCCTGCCTTGTTTAGCTCCTAAGTATAAGAAAACATAGTGCTTCAAAAGAGGCCTCATCTCTACTGTCCCATCTGCTAAGTCCTTTGTAAACACTACCAAAGGAAACACACTGCGCTAAAGGCTGTTGGTTCCTCCCCCTCCTGTGTTATGAGCTGTCCTGGATAAACAGATCAACACTTTCATTTAAGAAAAAAAAACAAGTTATACAAAACGGCATGACTTGTACTCTGCTGAGTCACAAATTATCAAGAAGGAACTGAACACTCTCTAAGCCAGAGTCAACACAAAAAGTCCCATACAATTAAAAATTACAAGACCAGGCATGTGAGTATTGTAGACCTTCTTACTTTTAAATCTGGAATTAACATGTGCACATGTGTTTTCACTGAGTGAGAAGAGCCAGGCCTGTGACTGAGCTGACCAACAGGACCACACACAGTTCATGTTACACTCTTTAAAATATTAGGTTACGCCAAGCTGTACCAATAAGAGACAACTCATTATGTGTGTAACATAAACCCTGACAACCATAACCTGTGGCCGTCAGGCTGTGATGGCTTTCATTTTTACAAACTGTGCAATACTAGAAAAATTGCTTTTTCATAGGATTGACAATTCCTTCTTTTTTCCCCCCATGTGCCAAAATTCCTGGCTGCTTGGATACACAAAGCAGAAATGGTCAAAGCCCTAACACTAGGCTAAATCATCCAAGTAAGAATGTAGCTACACTCTGTGAAAAAGAAGAAACTAAACACACTGTGAAGTGTTTATAAGTAATGAGGAAAAACAAACAAACAAAAAAGCATCTCTTACTCCATCTTCCTGAGAGGGAAACCAAGACACATGCTTTTCATGCTGAATCAACGGTAGTGTTTAACACTAATCATTGAGAATCAATGTGTAAAACCAAGTAAAAACTGAGACCAGGCTAGTTGGAGACTGAACAATGTACACACAGCTGCCAGGTTTATTGGTCCATCTAATGGATTTACAACAATAGTCCTGCAATAAATTTATATCTGAGCGGTACTGATTAAACTTCAAGATATTTTATTACTGTTGTTTATGGGGTTACTAGTGTAATGTTTTATAATGCTTCATCTACACTTACAACATGCAGTGGCACAGCTCCACAAGCTACATTCTGACTAAATGACTATTATTTAACACTTATCCTAAAACATTTTCAGTAATAACATTTATGAAAACAGGATTTATTACAAAGCTGTTATTTTAGACTGCAGTAACTTTATCTAGCAAACTCAATTAACGCCCAACTGAGTACAAATATGTTAAAATGGACTGCTCGATGATATTTCATAGTACAGCTGATTCAAAGTCAGAGTTTTGTAAGGTTACCTCAGACTGTACGACAGACAAGAGTCTAAGTCAATGATTAATTGACGCTGAGAGACTAATGTTACACAAGATCTCTAACGCGACATGAATAGAAACTGTGGAAATAAACAGAAACAGAAACTTGAAAACGAACATTTATGGTGTTACGTTAATGCCAACTACTAGCAAAGATTTAAACCATAAACATTAGGACAAAGCAGTAAAGTAAATGAATGGGAGTCAGCTAACCGTATGCCAGTGCGTTAACCTTAGCTAGCTTCAATGTTGTCGTTAGGTCTACGCTCCCGTTAAAAGCAAACGGTGATATCAGGCAGGAACCACTGCTAATGCAAGGTCGCTGGTTTCAACGAAATACGGATACATTCATTTGTTGTGTCATGAGTGAATTTCCAAACCAGTCGCTGTCTGACTTGAATTCAACCACCGAGGCTAAACCATCTTAGCCAGGTTATATGCTAACACTAGCTAACAGTAACGTTAGCATACGGTTCACTCGGAAAACTGTGTTCTCACAGAGAAGAATAAAATAGCCTGAAACCACCCTTTCGATAAGCATTTACCTTTCTGTTACTTCAGCGGAAAGTTGCCGATGAAAGAGGTTATAAAGTCTTCAGTTACTCCCCATACCTTTGTCAGAAAAGCTTCTCAAAAGCCTCCTGACACGTCCGTGCCTGGACCACCGTGACTGACTGTTGCTACAAACAGCGAGCCCAAGTTAATGGGACAGGGAGCCCCACAGTGGTGGCGCACTCACACAGCTGCTATTACCAAGACGATTTATTCACAGATGACAAAGACCGTGAACGGATTAACCAACAGGTAAATGCACAGGCTCATGGGCCAAAGAAATAAGGGGGCCTCTGGACAAGAGCCTCAGAATGAAGTGGCTAACATTTCTTGTTGGAAAGTCAATCGATAACTAATAGACCCAAGATGAGTAAAAACGGATGCAACACAACAAAGAGAAACATAATGAGTACAGTGAAATGCAGAACAACCTAGCAGACCAAAACAAGTAAAACATAGACAAAAATAACCACAGAGACACAAAGTGACCAGAAAGAGAAGCAAAAACGAAAGCTAAAATTAAAAAGAATGAAAAAAAAACAACCACAAAGACCAACAGGCTACAAAGAGATGCAAAACTGACTAAATAGAAATGCTAAATGACAACAACGATGCAAACAACAAAATACAGTCACAAAATGATTAAAAAAACGGACTCAAACTGTCTTTTGATCTGTGGGTCTTACTTCTACAGTATGTAGGAGCATCGGGGGGCTTTTTACATATCTGTGGGGGCTCAGTGTCTCATAATACATCCATGACAAGGGTTACATTTTCATGTGAGACATAACCTCAGTAAGGAATGAAATGTTTTATCTAGTCATTCTATTATTCAATTGGGACCACTCGCTCTGCCTTGATTACCCTTTTTGAGACCAGGACTTTGGGAACTGCTGACTAAAAGCATCAGCAATGAAAGCAGGCAGAAATGAGCTGCTACCATTTAAACAGGTTGCCATTAAAACACTTGAGGTTTTTGAAATTCCATCCATCCATTATCTATACCACTTATCCTGTTAGGGTCACAGGTGGGCTGAAGCCAATCCTAGTCATCATGGGGTGAGATTGCTGGGGGACGTTCTGGACACAGTTCTTTCACAGGGTTGACACACATAGACAGATGGCCATTCACACTGACATTCCCACATTCTCACCTACAGGCAATTTAGAGTCACCAGTCAAGCGAACCTGCATGTCTTGGAAGCTGCAGGCATGGGGCAAACACATCAACTCCGCATAGGAAGTCCACAGGTTTGAACCCAGAACCTTCTTGCTGTGAGGTGCAAGTGTGAACCACTGGTCCACCTTGCCACACCATTTTGAAATTATAAGGCATTTATCTCAATTAATGAACCACTGGGAGATTGTTAAAAAGGGGAAACATCTCTAAAGCAGCTGCAGCTTTTTTATAAGGGAAACCTCGAAGAGAAAAGAGACTTATTTTTAACTTGTTCAGTAATTACAGTCTCAGACCAAATACTGCAGGGCCGTTTGTCTTCACATTTTTTTATGTACCTTAAATAGAACATTCTCTTCTTCTTTCAAAAACAATTTTCTGCCAGTGCCTGAAGCTCATTTCACAGAGTTCTACACAAGACCTCTAAAAGTGTTCCAGTTATGCCTGGGCTGCTTTGCACACAGCTTTGCAGGCTGTGTGAGACACCTTGGATTAAGCAGTTTGGACTTTCCTCTGTATGTGTGTGTTTATCTGTGTGTTGTCACAGTCACACTGCTCCACCTCTCCTGTTTAATGTCTGATGCTTGTGGCTTGCAAACATTTTGTGTGGAACATACATGCACACAGAACAAGTTAAACATACAGTAACAGCTAGACACGCAGAGCTCTGACCAGTGCAACCTGTGGTGTATCCGCTGACACATTTTCCCCATGTCTCAAAACAATAAACAAATGGTAAACAATTCATAATATTTTTCCCTTTATTTTTTTTACAGTACATAAACCTCAGGGAGGTGTGGTTTGAGAGGTTACCCAAATATAATACTGTAATATTATAGGAAAACAGCATTTTGCTTTTCTGGCCTTCCAAAGATTAATGACAGGTTAACCTTCGCCCAAATATTACATTAACTGCTGATAGTAGCCAGAAGACATGTCAAGCAACTACAATCATACAATTATCCACCCTTCATCACATTCACTGTTTACTTTCTTGACAAGCAATTCCCAAAGCTCTTTAGCCCAGCAAATGAAAGACGCAGAGGGAAGCAGCTGTATTCATTATTTATTTAAAGTGTAAAGCTGCGCCGGCATGCGCCGGGGTAAGACACTTTGGAGACAGCCCAGTCGTTGATCTCTTCTGGTTTATTTCATCACACTGCATCATCCTTTAGTCTTTCTTATCCCCCTTGTTCTCCTCATCTTCTGGGTTGTAGACGCTAACGGTGAACTCGCCAGCCTCTGTGCCGTACTTGTTCTTGACCACGAGAGCGTATTTGCCAGAGTCAGTTGTGGTGACGGTGGTGATTGTGATGCTGGCATACTTCCCTTGCTCAAACTTGAGTTTGTAGCGATCGTCAGATACCAGTGGTTTCTCATTCTTTTTCCAGCTCACCTCAGGTGCAGGGTCGCCCCAGACATTGCCAGTCAGGTTCAGGGACTAAAGAGAAGTAGAGGGTCATAAGCTTTTGATGTGTGTCATATACAAAACTGCATTCCACAGAGTTCAGAGGAAAGAGACACTCCAAGGATTGTTACAGTGAAAAACAAAGTGTAAAGTAGGAGAAAGAGCTTCACAGTGTATTAACAGAGCGTTTCTAATTTATTTACCTTGCCCTCTTGGATTGCAACCACATCTGGCAAGCCTCCAATAACACGAGCACGGTCTGAACAAGAGATATAAGAGTGAGCCAGGAAACAACTGTCCACCATCAGTCAGGCTTTAGAGCATTTTTCTGTGCACAATAACCTTCACCCATTCATTCATTCACCCTACTCTGGCTTTCAGTGAACCATCTGACATAAAACACATTTTCTAATTTCTATGCACATTTTCATTTTCTATATTAACAGTATTTTAAACACTCCAATCTTTGAATGGAATCAACTTCAGCTCCTTATTTCAGCAGTGTAGACATTTCACCTCCACAAAAGCCCATTTCCATGAATAGGATATTAATATGACTATTAATAGACTCATGCATGTTAAAATCTAGTGAACCCAAGATAAAAATTCTATTGTAACTGAAGAAGTCTCCATATCCAGAGAAATTTTACATAATTTCATAAAGCGACATCTCTTGGGACCAAGAATAAATAGCTACTTACTTCTCTCTGCAATTGCTGCCGCCCTACGGAAGGAAGGAGACAGACATTGTCAGAAGCATCTTCAAATGATATCACAGGCAGAGGAGTTAAGACTTCTTTTTCAGTCAAACAATGCCAGGAAATGTATTTTGAGTGCTTCAGAAAAGGCTCACAAAGTACATAAAGTCTATTTTAATGCTGTGATGGTGGTTACTATTTATTTGTGTAAACATCCTGTCCAGACAGAAATAAAGAATTACACAACAGAAGGATTGGGTCAGATGAGTTTGTTTACTTACTTGAGCTTTTTAAATTCTTCAAATGCCGCTTCCCATGCTGTACCAGGAAGAAAATTAACATATTTCTATTTAGTTATCTACATGCAAAAAAAAAAATCCAAGTTAATGGGATGTCTTTCATTTTTAATACCTTTCTCCCTTTGACTTTAAAATTTTCACTCACCTGGGCCAGTCAGATCAAAGAATCTCTTTATACCAGCCTTGCCGTCAAAGATGTCCATGGTGTACCTGCCCCTGTCCTTCTCAGTAGGCTCATTTATCTTAAGCCAAAGCTGGTCTCCTGTGACCCCAGGCTTGACTCTCTCTGAGGCTGGAAGCTTAGCATCTCTGATGAGGAAAAGGGGATCATGAAATGCAAATTTATTTTTCATCTACTAAAAGTATACAATGAGATGATCAAGTACACTGAAAAGCAGTAACTGCATTTGACCCCTAAAATCTCCACAATCGTCTCTGTATTATAACAGAATAAACAATCTGATTCATTTGAGCAGTATCACTACCAGCTAATGGGAATTTGCATTCTTAAATTTGATTAGAAAATCTGTGAAAATTATTTCACTCAGTGTAGTTACTCGCACCTTTTATGATCCATCTCATAGACACCTGAGAGATTCAGTATCTAAGTTTGGTCTCAAATGCATTAAACCACAGAGTTTAAAATGGTTGAGTTCATGCTGTGGTTGTGCCAGCGTTTCATAAGACCTTCTGCACATACAACAACAACAAGCCCTGGTTCACAGCAAGATTCACGTAGCTTCATCGTCCCAAAGAAGAGGCTTACAGGTGTGGGGACAGGACTCTGTACAGCCAGGCCAGGAACACACTGACAAGGGAGATCAGTTGCTTGTTAATACTGCTTATTTTGTTATAGTACACAGCCTTATGCTGGTTTACTGTTTACTTGCCCCTTGCATGGGGATAGGTACATATACATTGAGAGCCGATGTACCAGAGTCAAATTCCTTGCGTGTCTGGCACACCTGGCCAATAAAGCAGATTCTGATTCTGATAAGTGCATGTGAATAGAATCAGTACAGCATCAGACAATAATGTAAAATACTGTAAGGTCAATTTTACATACTTTAAGAGCCAAACAACACGCAAGTCCTCATGGTAATATGTGACGTCTGAGTAGAGGATGATGCCGTGTTCAGTGCTGAGGACTTTGATTTCAGTGGCTGAGTTGGCTAGGAGGAAAAGAACAGGAAAAGTGTTGGGATTTATTTACTTTCCACATAAACCATATAAAATAATAGTACACAATAAAGGCTAAAATAGTTTAATTTCTAGCTGTTCTCATTCTTTCTTTGGCTTTCTATGCTGCTTCATTAGTGCTTGGTAAGTGTGAAGTTCAATGACTCACCGATAACCCTGAACAGCTCATTCATTACAGCTTGGTATCCTGGAGAAAAAGACGAGAACAGCAATTAATGTCATATTCGCTGATATCTAACAGCACAGATTTTCACTTTTTCATGAAGTGAAAATAAGACATTTACCTGAATCTGTCAGATTGAAGGTGCTGTTGTCTCTACCTCTGTCGTCCCTCAAGAAGACCTCGTAAGTACCTGCATCCTTCTTGGACATCTAGAGTTTGAAGTAAAAGCAACTTCAGTATTCCTGAGACAACAAACTGAAGACATGTAATAGGGAGAACAGCCAGACAGAGTCCAATTAAACTGAAAAGACAAGCATTTCTCCTGCCTAGGAGGCTGTAGGCATTACAAGGAAAACATGAAAAGGGTAAGAAGAGAAGGACACATGGAGAAATGAAAGGCATCAACTTATAGCAGCAAAGATTATGTCCAGACTTTGGGTCTCGGTGGTGAGGGAACATCATTGTCAGGTGGCTTTTTCCTTGCTTTTTCTTTCTTTTTCTCCTGCTTAATAACCCACTGTGAATTAGACACACAAACCAGCTAATGCAAGTGCGAATGCCAGGAGTGGTGATGAACAGACTGCTTCTCCTGAGCTCATGCAAGGCACCAGCCCTCTCTTTATAAGTAATGCTTATACAGTTTCAATGTAACTATGCTCATCAATGTACTGTAACTTAACTGGCAAAGACACTGAGTGACAGATCAGATTAATTTCCTCCAAAAAGTAAGATGGCCACAAGAGTTAAACTGAACATAGTTTTAGAAATGACATGAATGAATCAGTCACACATAAACAATACACTGCATTTAGACTGTGTGGTCATAAATGTTTAAAAGTATGGCCATTAACTCTATAATATCCAATTATGCTGTGTCAGAATAAGAATTAAAAGTAAACTTCAATAAACAGAGCCAGTTATGCCCAATCTGTCTATTCTGAATTCCAAGGATGGCTTGCTGACGTGTTTGCTCCAGCAGCGTTCCAGCACCAGAAGGAGGAGGAATATTTTTAAAAGTGTTTCATGATTTATATTTCTGAGTGTCAGAGAGGAATGGCTGGCAGCGTAGCCTCTAGTCTAGCTCTACAATGGAAGCACAGCTGCACTAGAAGCGTCACTTTTCGGTCTTCACTCATAAGCTCACGACTTTTCGCAAACATGGCCGCCGTCTAATGGGCTGACCTTTCCGATATTGAAGGTCAGATCGCTGTCCTTTCTCTGGATTTTCTTGGCATCCTCATCACTGTCTGCTATCCCGATGCTGTTCCTAGACCAGGTGATCTCAGTCTCTTTTTTGACATTTCCTACCTGTGGAGGGAAAATGTCAGACGGGAATAAGTTGTGTCATCTAAATTGCAGCCATTTGTGATGCTCGTCGGTACAAAAAATATTTATAGCTGTACAAATATTTACAATTACTTTTCTTACCTTGCATTTCAACAGAACATCACATTCTGGCGTAACGGCAAAGTCAAGGTACTCGACAAAGTGAGGACCTGTGAATAGTTAATGGAAATAATTGGAGAAACATACTTGTGTAATTTTAAACATTTGTAGCAGAGAAGTGAGAGCTCTTACCTTGTTTCCTGACCCATTCTGCCCTCTCAAACTGTGATTTCTTTTGAAGCTCCTTGAATTCTGGAGATTGGCAAAGGAAATGTAAATGTTAAATACCAGATGTCTTGCTATAAAATATTTTCCATAACTGAAAACTAAATAAACTAAAAATAGCTGCATTTGAAAGTCAGCTATGACAAGAATAAAGATGGCATGGCAGTAAAGAAAAGGTTGTCTTGTACTGCCCCTCGCTGGACATATACTTCAGCTACAGCAACACACCCAGCAAAGCCTTACTCTTACTGTGTGCCATTAAAAATAATCTGCATGAGGGGTGTCTATTAATAAGGAAGTAACAGTTGCATGTGAAGTCTCACCATCTCCAATGAGGACCAGACTGGTTGTACCCTTGGCCTTGCCATCCACCAGGTTAAAGGTGAAAGTCCCCTCATCGGTGACCTCCAGAGAGTCCATGAACATTTCAATGATGCCGGTCGACTTGTCAAACTTCATTGTGTATTTCTGAAAGAAATAAGAAAAGCCAGTATGCCAATAATTAGTTTGCAGAAGATTATGTAAATTAAAATTTACATACCGGACAACATGACTAAATGAGATGAATTAGATTTCGGTATGAGACCTACCGATCCCGAAGAAAGTATGGTGTCATTAAAGACATATTCCACTTCGCAGGCAGAAGTGCACTTCTCCACCTGGGTCCAGATCCGCACAAGACCCTTCTCGAGCAACTCCATGGACATTTCATGTTTGAAGGGAATAACTGGAGAGCACATTGTTTTTGAAAGCACTTGTTACTTTTTCTGTATAGCTATGTACATGGTGCATGAAGTAATCATGACTTGATATTAATAGTATCTGTGCTGTGGTGGGATAATTACCAGGAAACTTGTGGTCATGGCTGATTTCCAGAAGACGCTTGAGACCTGACAGCAAAAGTAGTCAAACGATTAATTTCATGACCTCTGCAAATCCCCTCAGCATCACTCCTCCCACTGCCAGCTTTACTGGTTTTTTTCTTGGCAGGGTTTTGGAAAAGTTTATCATTAATCCAGTCAGGAATATTAAATAACATGTAAACCTTATGTGTTACAACAGCACTGACTAATTTCAGAAAACTTTCAAGACAAACACACATATACCCCAGAGTGTAACAGAGAAAGAAACCAATTTGATGCAGCTGTTGAAATACAATAACAGAAAGGAGCCCCTCTCGCACCTTTAACACCTACATCACCCACACAAATAACAAGTGAATCAAGTTTCAGGCACACAAGAGCAGAGAGCCAAGACTGTGGGTTGACTCACCCTCCTCGGTGAGTGTGTAGCTGGAGGAGATGCCCTCAGTGTTGGTGACCACACAGGAGAAGGTGCCCAGATCCTCCAGGGAAGGATCATTGAAGATAGCTCTGGATCTGGAGACAAGGACACAACAGGTGAGTAAAGATGAATCTGAAGTTTTGGGTCCCAGGAAGTTGCATGACAAACTGGGAACACATATATAAACTTACTTTCCCTTTTCAGTGACGATAGTGAGGCGTGAATTGTCTGTGATGGCCTGATAATTCTTGGACCAAACAAATTCAGAGCCTGCTTTCATTTCAGAGCATTCGAAGACCATAGAGATGACACCATCATCATCAACATCCACATAAATCTCTTTGGTGTCTAAGGAAGAAATAGGTAATGTTTACTTGTGTGTGTATGCATCACTGGCATTTCAGCTCTCAACTCAGGCTTTCAGAAGCAAATAAAACAAATTATATCACATCAAATATAAGTGATGAAAAAAAATAATAATTTCCTCACTTTTCCAGACTTTCCCAGCCTGTGTGGAAACACTATGTAACTGAATGTGTGAGTTACATAACAATCACACTCACCAGGAGCAGTCTGGGCCAGGATTGGACCTAAGACTGCTGAGGGCTTTCCAACTCCAGCAAGGTTTTGAGCACGAACACGGAAGACATAGGCTGTACCAGGCTTCAGCCCAGTCACCTAAAAAGCCACATAATGAATTGGATGGAGACACAGCTGAAAACAGCCCTTTATTTATTCTTTCATGTGTATATAATGCACATGAAGATACATGTTATTCAAACCATAATTTTTCTATTTATCATCCTCACCTTCATATATTTCATTCTGTTGGCTTTTTCATGGGCAGCCTTCCAGCCCTCCTCTCCAGCAGAAGCCTCCTTGACATCCACATAATATCCATTGACAGGAGTGCGGCCATCAAAAGCAGGTGGCTCCCACAGGACCACAATGGAGGTGTCACGAACCTCCAGCACATGAAGACCAACAGGAGCACCTAGGAGGAACCAAGGGAGGGAAGTAAATGGTCTTATATAGTGCTTTTCTACACATTGAAGTGCACTCAAAGCAATTTACATATCACCGGGAGCAACTAGGGGTTCAGCATCTTGCTCAAGGACACTTTGACATGTGGACTGAAGAAGTTGGGATTGAACCACCAACTTCCCCATTACCTCAGCCACAGCTGCCCTGTTTTAACAAGTCCTTCACTGGACTGCTAAAGAATTGTCAGATACTTATCAGGATCGATTTTAGATTCCAAAACATTACATTTTGAAATAACACAAAAGACATTTTCTCTGTTATTCTTGGACCCCATTAGTATGTACTTGGACATGATAGTCACCTACTGTATGCCACATAACAACTTTCTATCCATTTATCCTTCAATGTGTCAGGTTTGCTCGGCCGCTCTGGCCTCCCTTACCTTTCCTACTGTCTCTTGCCCATTTACACTAATCACGTTCACCTGTTCCTCACTCCCTCATCACCAGCTGCACTTGATTAGGTTGCTCACTATATTACCCGGTTTCACGCCTCAGTCACTTGCCAGTTTGTTCTAGTCTCTAGGCCATTTTTTCTCCGTGCTCTTTCGTTGTTTTGTATGTACTGTATTTATCCCCTAGCCAGCTACTGTTTTGTGTTCTCCCCATGGACTGTTCCTCCGGACCGTGGCTCCACTCTCTCCTCCCAGGCAGGTCAATGCTCAGTCGCCTATCTGTTCCACTATTGCCTTCATCTCTCTGTCTCTACCTTCAGTAGCCACCATTACCACCGACCAGCCCAGGAGTGACCCAGCCTACGCAGCTCGGCCCAGCTCTCCATCTCCTCGCCTCCTACTGTTGGTCAACACCCGGTTACTACTCATTGACAGGACTACGCACTATTTCCCTCTGTGCATTTTGTTATTTCTCCTCATCACTGTACATAATAAATCACTGCTTGCATTGAAGTCGGCTACCTGGGTCCGCCTCTTTCTCGTTCGCTCACTGACAGGTGCGAACGGCACCTAACACAATGGACCACGTGTTTCATTTTCTTTTGCAAAATGTGTTGAGAGACATTCACATGGTAACCCACCTGAAATAAAATCTTGATTTGACTTTTGTGAATATATTGAGTGTCTAAACCTGGCACATACCTGGCACAGTAATGGTCCACTCCTTGCACTCTAAAGGTGCACTGGTCACAGAGTCTTTGCTCACACCTGCCATGTTCATAGCGCGCACCTGGAACTGGTAGAAGACGTTTTCCTTCAGGTTCTCAGCCTAAAGAAAGACAAAGTCAGACACTGACAAATCAATAAAACCTTGCTTTGGGCCTGCACACATAAAATAGCTCTGAGCAACAGTGCAGTTAGAATAATTATCTAGTGGATAAGGGCATAATGCTAAGATGAAACTTCTTGACAGATGACAGTGGGATTTGTGGTCATTTCTTCATTCATGAAAAACCCAAAACAATTTCATTATAAATGTGGCACTTATGAAATAGCGTACTTTATAGGAAGTTGCGGTTAATGCCTTTTGGTTCATTTCATGCCACTTCCCAACAACGTTTCCCTTCACGGTCCTGTAGTCCACAAAATATCCCCTGATATCAGCACCTCCACTGTTAGCAGGTGCGGTCCAGCCCAGCACCATATAGTCCTTTACGGCCTCCAGCAAGGTCACTCCAGTGGGGTTCCCAGGGACGGCTGAGAAAAGAGTAGTTAAGATGGCCAGCATTAATTGAAAGAAATAAGGTGCAAAAAATAAGCTTGTCAACTAAGACATTGAAACCCAAATTATTTACAGTACATTTCCTATAGCTGAACATTCTACATGCTTTGTGCACACAAGCAACACACTTTTTTTTGCAGTCATTGTAATGGATAATATACTTACACTCAAGGCCAGAAGCAGGGTAACTCTGATGCTAATAAAGTCTCTGAAGGCAGACGAGACTCTCATTAGGTTCATGCGCTTTAAGAACACAATGTTTTAGCCTTCATCTTGGCCATGCACCAAGAGGCACCCCTGAAGAATTATTTACACAGGAATTAATATCGGCACAATTTAAAAGTTTTGTAAAACATGATCTAATTAGTCCTTTAACCTTGCTGGTAATAAATGAAAGAAGCAGAAATGGTGAAATGACAAAATCCCATATTAGTGATGAGTATGTCAGGCAGGCGCATGCAAAAATATATTCACACACTGTCGCATACAGTACAGCCACTTGTATTAATTTAACTGAAAATATACAGGAATTTAGCTGCACAAGAGGAGCTACAGTATCTGGGCAGGTAACTATATCAGAACAAAATCCTAGAGAATATAAATTAACTAAGGAATAAAGACAGCATTTTTGGCTATAAAAGGGAAAAGGAGTGATGACAATAAACAAGGTTCATGAACAGAGATGAGTTCAGAGGATTTCATGGCTCAGTGGCAAAGGACTGCATGTGTGTGATTTTTTTTAATTTTATGAATTTCTGAAAGGCTGTTCTGAAAAAAAAAAGGCAATCATTCCCTGGATAAATAAATGCTTAAAAATAGCTGGGATGGTGGAGCAGAGAGAAAGAGACTAGCTTACATGCTACAGGCAATGAGAGTAATACAGATGTGTTATGATGAGGACACTCACAGATGGCAGGTTGTACAACAACTGTTTCAGAACTAGGGGAGCTCTGGCTGTATCCAGCAGCATTGACTGCCTTTACCCGGAACACATAGTTCGCTCCAGTGGTCAGGCCATGGCACACAAACCTAAACACAGTGAAGACAAAGAGGTTATGAGTCTCATATTATAACGACACTATAATTTCATCATCAGTACGAGTAAGAGTGAGTAGAAGCTTTAACATTTGCACTTTTAATGTAACTGTAAAATTAGGTGAAAAATAATAGATTGGACTTTTAGCTTTAGGTTAAGCTAAACCCCAGGGCAACCACATAACTAGTAGAACCTTTATTATTTCCTCTGAAAATTGGCAGCTGCAGTATCTTAGGTCATCAGCCTTTGTGACTTTCCAAATTTAAAGTATGACCACATACTTCTCAATAAAGTGCCTAATGTTAATATTAGCAAACTTTGGGAAGATATTTCTGTGCAACTTACTGAGTCAGTTCACTACTTGTACTCCTAACAATTATACATTTCACCATTTATATTATCCTGTATTTGTCACTTGTCATTATTTAGCAAATGTTACACAGTCTGGCTTTTTACTCAACAATTAATCATACATGTAAATGGATAATGACTAAAGAAGCAAAGAAAACTAAAGAAACAAAGAAATACAAAAAAGTAAGTGACATTTTTTGGCCAGTGTGCTTTGCTTTTTTTATGTTATTGTTTTTTAATCCAATAAACCTCACTATATTACATCCCCTTCAGCAGTAGCAAGACATCTGTATCAAATTCAGCTGAAAACCATGGGTCAGTTTTGATAGTGTATTCTTTTCAACTCTGCAGTCATTCTCTGTAACTGTTAGCACTGAATAACTTGTGAATTCTTAAACACTTTAACTGTCCCTACCTGGTCTGCTTGACAGGCTTGTTGTTGCAAGGTGTCCAGACATTGGAGCCCACCACGCTACATTCAATATAGTAGCCGACCAGATGTTTGACTTCCTTAGAGGCCCCCCAGAAGACGACCACTGAGGTGGCAGTGTTCCTTGCGGTCACTGGGGCACCCGGAGCAGATGGCAGGTCTGTTAAGAAAGAGATCTGTAAGATATGTTGGACCAATTATAACGAGCAGGGAGGGAACACACTGGATTGGGATGAGGCACGACATTCTATGATACAGAAAGGTCTCTAATGAAGGAATAGAGACAGGTAACACAAAAACGATATTATGATTTTAGGTGATATTTTTTAGCTCTAAACATGGAGCCTCTGTATGTAGCGCCTACACTGTCATATTTACAGGGCTTGGTGGCTCACCCAGTTTATCCCCAATAATGGTTTCTTCTGTGGGCACAGAGGCCTCGCTCACACCAGCAGAATTGCAGCAGCGTACACGGAAGCTGTAGGATTTACCCTCTGCCAGGTCAAACAGGGCAAAGCGGGGAGACCTGACAGGCATGCCAGTGTTCACCCTCTGCCAGTTGTCTTCCCCCGAAATACACTAAGGTTGACAGAGAGCCAGTGACATGAGACAGAAGATAACATGACAGTAGTATGTGATATCTGACAATTGGAATTTAAAATACATGTATATAAAAAGGTAAAGTTGAGAGTTTATGATTTAAAGCACTGAGTACTTGCATTGACTGCATATGTCCACTGGTTGTGACCAGTTCAACCACTGTTTCCTCATTTTGTTAAACCTTACATTTTTAGAGTTAAGGTAGTACAGCAACCAAAATGGAATTAATGTACTCAAATGTTATTAGATGTGTGAAAAATATGGTCTCATAACCAATGTAGTGCATTTTCATATTGTCAAAAATGTCACTTTAAAACAACTTGCAAGAGACTGCAACTAATGATTATTTTGTAATTACTGTCTATCAATTAACTACATCCATATTTCATAAAATGACAGAAAAGGGGTCAAAATCCCCATCACAATATCTCAAAGTCCAGATTTGTTTTGTATGGTCAAGGTGTAGTTTGGCAAACAAGACCTTTGAGAACTTGAAACTGATGAATGAATTTTTCTATAAATCAGCTGTTTGATTATTACTGCTTCAGCTCTACGTGAGACATTTACCTAGTTCTCCTCACCTTCTCAATGTAATACATGACTCCTTCATGACCTCTCTGGACTGGCGGCTTCCAGGCAAGGACCACATAGCTCTTGGTTGCCTCGGTAACCACAACATCCGTTGGTTCTCCAGGCACCACACCACCTGGAGAGGCAAGAGGAAACTCACTTTAACCAGGTGACTTGTGCTTAAAAGTATAAGTCAGCTGGACTGGTATCACTTGGTATCAAGCTTTTGATACTGTTACCAATACCATAGCTGCAGTACAAACACCAAAACAATACTTTATTTTAGAGCTTAGTTTGAGGATAGTTTGAGAAATGCAAACATGACTTACTAAAAATAACTTAGACTTTTAACAAATTGTGAATGCCAAACTATTCAATGCTTCCTCTCATTTGCATCCATGTTTAACATTGTCTGCAGCCATGCAGGAACTTACAGCCAAATAAAACAGTCAAAAACTGCCATGTCCTATGATTTGGATGTGAGACACCTGATGCCAGTGTTTGATGTGTTTACATAATACCACAGCCAGAAAAGTGCAGAAAATGTGACTTGATACTCAGACATATAAGTCAGTTTAAAACTGTTGTCAACTGCTGACACATCTGGAAATCAAAGGGTCTAACAAGACATTTCTTTCCATTTCCTATCATCACACAGGTCACAGGGTTTGATGCTGTCATACCAGTGGGATCCTCCTCTGTGAACTTAATCATTCCAGTCCAAGGGGCCAAGGGCCCAGCTGTTGGGGGAAAAAAATGTAATAATTACATTTAAGAGTACAACTGTTGGCTTGCTGCAGCGTGTCAGCAGGACTCTGTTGGGTCTCTTACCTCTGAGGCGAACCCTGTCAGAGGGATCCATAGCAACCACGACCTCAGAGACACGGGATGGACGACTGAGTCCTACTTTGTTCAAGGCCCGCACCCTAAAGACGTAAGAGCGCCCCTCCACTAGCCCCGTGACAGGGAAACGGGCGTACTTCACTGGGACGTCATTACACTGAGCCCAGTGGTGGGTGCCCACCTCACACCTGCAAACACAAAACATCTGTGACCACCACAAGCAACACTGTAACATCATTATCAATAATGATCAGGTATAAAAATCTTTCCACTGCAGTAATGCCATCTCTTAAGCTGGTGTTGGGCTTTTGCCATCCTGTCAGCCCACATAGTAGCAGAATGACTGATTGACAGCTACAGGCAGGCATGAATGATGTAAGTGTTATCTCTAAGGTAACATTTATCTGTCAAGTCGGCAGCTTAGTGGAAACCTAGGTGGAGTTTGGGACAGTGCCATGTCCTTTCACTATTCAGCACAGAAGTAGCATAAATAAGATCAGTTGTACTCATATCATAGCATCACAGCCAAGGTAAGCAAATGAAAATGAATAATAATTTCTCTTTATAATAATAATTTTGTCAAACCATGAACAAATGAGCTGCCCAACCTATCAATGTAGTATCCCAGGATAGGGCTGCTGCCCTCCACCGCTGGCTGCTTCCAGGTCACCACCACATAATCCTTATTGACATCATGACAGCGCACATCCAGGGGAGCTACAGGAGCCCCCTCCACCTCCACATCGGCATCTGGCATAGCAAGATGATCACACACACACACATACATGTGAGTAGTGCTGTTTCTAAATCAAGCTCATCTCCATTCCATACTTCCAAGTATTTCCATTTTCTGACTCACTTACGCCTTTACAGTACATTATGTGTAGCAGCACTGTGGCTATCTATGATAATTTGTTTGTATCTTGATGACATTAAACAGGGATTCTCTCTTATTCATAAACCATCTGATTTTTAGCTGAAACAGAGCCCCCTCTCTGTGGTGACTTCACTGACATGCAGACAGATATAGAGGCAACATTCCTCACAGGAAACCAGACACCTCAGAGAAAGCGCTGTGGCACTTAAAGAGACAGCAGGACTGAACGGTTCCCTATCACATCGGTGTGTAGGGTGATCTGCTTTACTTTGCACGTAACAGTGCATTTGAAAACAGCACAATTCAACAGACCTGATGATCAGAGGCCTTATAAGTTAATTCAGTTTTCAATGTAAAACTAAAAAGCTCCAAGTGCCTCTGTTTGTGCAGTGAAATCACCAGCTGCAGCTGAAATATCTGCCGGACACTTTACCTCTGACAAACACATAGGCTGAGTAGGTGTCAAAGCCAGATTTTGTGTTGACACGTAGAGTGTACATGCCCTCATCTTCCTTGTTGAGGTGGACAAGAGTGAGTGTGGCATGTTCCCCAGACCAGTGGGTGTGTACCCACTTGGAGGGCTTCAGGGGCACAGCTGATGGGACAGGTCAAAACAAAAGAGGTATGATCTGCTACATATAGTGTGTAATACAGTTTTTATGAATGAAGATAATGTACTATTTCCATGTTATTCTTCTACTTACAGTTTCTGTACCACACAACTTCAGGCTGGTATTTCTTTACAGTCGGATAAACAATGACAGTGCAGCCCAGACTCAGCGTCTCACCCTCGTAACCAAAGGCCACTTCAAATTTGCCAATGATGGTGGCGTTAAAGGTAACACCATGCTCAGGGCAGAAACCATCTGTGGAGATGAAGGAAAAGTACAGAATTAAAAACACTACAGTGAAAGCAATATGACTTTGTAGAGTCACTGCAGGCTAAAAACCCACCTTTAAAATTTTTAAGCACTTGTACTGTAGCACACATGCTTTTACTAATTTGTTTAAAAGGGATATATTGCCAGTGTCAGATGATATCGACTTCTTATTCCAACACGGTTTAAATTCATTTATTACAAGATGCTTTAGACAAAAGCATCTGTATACAATAATGTACACAATAATGTGTCAATAATTATAATCCAATGTGCTATTCTGTACAATGAGTACTTTGCGTTTTAGTACTTTGAGTATATTTTGATGCTAGTACTTTGGTACTTAAGTAAAGTCTGAATGCAGGACTTTAACTTCTAACTGAGTATTTTTACAATGTGGCATTGCTACTTTTACTTGAGTAAAGAATGAGAACTTCTTCCACCACTGGAAGTAAGTATAAGTTCAGCATCTACTTTCTCATTAGCTCTGTTTTAGCCTCCATCAACTCATTAGGGAAATCTCTGTCTTTTTAGCTTCACTGTGTTCAGCAGCTGGCTGCTAGCATCTGTTTGACATTTGTTGCAAGGCAGTTGGCATTCAGTGTGTTTATCAGAGCGTTATCACTGAAATAGCTGCTGACTGGGTCTAAAAAAACATCGCTGATGACAGAGGTGATACTGAAACAGTAAAGCTGCAAGCCAAAAAACTAAGAACTGAAAGAAGATAATGTATCATAAAGCTGCAGAAACTGCAAAGTTGACAGATAAGTCTTATGAGTGGCCACTTTCCTGTTATGCATTCCCATATTAATACAATCTTCTTGATTACTGACGCTTTAAGTTCTACTTTTGTTACTTTGTGTTTGATGTAGAGCACTTTTACAGTAATTATCTTGTATATGTGAAAGGTAATAATGTGATATAAAAGCAGCCAAAAATGTCACATTTTGCCTTACATTAAAAATAAATACATTTCTTCAAAGTGACTCACGTGGTTTAAGATCCAGTGCACCTGCCTCCTCAGCATCCTGGAACCCTGGAGAGAAAATATTATTTAGGTATGAGTTTTAGGACTTTTCATTCAGCCAAACCGTGTTCCACTGCTATTTGACTGCTGAAAATGCTCTATTACACACAGCTGGAAAGAGCTTTGCTTACAGTGGCACTATTTTAAAGCACTACTGTCTCTATACTTTGACCTGGGAGGGAGCACTAATCTGAAAGAAAACCGAATTACCTACTTTTGACAACAACAGTAGCCACAGAGGACGCTTCCCCCTTCACGTTGAGGGCAGAGATGCAATATTGAGCAGTGTCGAAGAAATTACAGCTGAGAATAAAAGTGCAGAGATGATGAATTCCTGGCATCGCATTTGCATTTAACAGGCTGCAGAATATTTTCTACACCAAACAGTGAGCTGAGGATGTTTTACATTTTGGGTGCATTTCTCTTTAACCATGGCCGTGCAGTGTGAGCCGAGTGATTACCTACTTCTTGATCTCCAGGGAGTGCATGTTGTAATTGCTCTCGACTGTGTACTTCTCAGGGTGGGCTTTGGGATCAATAAGAACATTGTTCTTGTACCTTGAGGACAGCAGAAATACAGTGTGTGTTGTTGTCAAGAGCTTTAAATGGAAACAGCCTTACAACACATGCTCTCATCAGCCACTTTTGTTTTGTGACTCAAAGAAAGTGGGGACCAGTGAACTTGGAAAACATCTTACCAGGCAACTTTGGGTTTGGGCCACCCAGCGACAGTGCAGTGCAACGTGACAGTCTTGCCCTCCCAGACCGTCTGTCCACGAAGCTTAATAACAAACTCTGGAGGATGATTCAAGTTGTCTGGGTTCATTTTCTTACGGAGCTCTGCCCGCACATCCAGCTATATACAGCATGAGAGTGAAGCCAGATTTTCATATTCAGTGCATGAGTGGTTGTAGGTTTGATATGAGAGATGAGATCATTTCAAATAGACATTATTTTGTCATTGCAAATCCCCAAAGGAATGGATTGGACTTACAGTCCTGCTCAGTTCCATGCGTTCCATAGATTCTCTGTACTGTACTGTTCTGCTTTTCTTCACCACTTTAACATCCAGAGCCTCCCTGGCCTCCCTAACAAACAGGTTTCTCATGGCCACATAATTAATCCCCTCCTCCGTAACATCCTCCTCTCGTGCCTCTGCCAGGCTTCGAACCACATCATGACTGAAACACAGTGCAAACATATGAGAACAGGGAAGTATCTTGGAAACATGTTCAGCTTCAGTGGCATAGATAGATTTTGTAGCTTCCTCACTCACTCGGCTCTAAATACAGGAATAACATAACCTATAACTTCTTTGTCCGTGTCCATCGCCAGGTAGGTGCGTCTAGCTCTCTTGGGTAGTGGGCTCAGTTTAACCACCTCCTGCCCCTTTTCTGTCTTCACAGATGTCTTCAGACTTAGAGGGAACAGACAACAATCATGGATTAATAGTCATTGATAGTGTAGGAAAGCTATTAAGTCAAGAGATTTTCATGAAATTTGTTGACACCACCATATTCTTTAATAAAATATACCTTCCAGTAAATAATGGTAAACACTTTTTGATCACCTTAATAAGATATACTCTGGTATTATGAGCAGATACAACAAGTTGCAACGGTCTGGCGCTAATTACCGATTCATTATGACTGCTTTCTTAGGATAGATAGCCATATCACACTTGGTTACATGCTAGGTGTAACTGAATGTACCATGTGAATCACAACTCTTAGTAATGATGGAAAAATCCAGTGAAAGGTACCTAATAGATGGAACAAAAAGTGCTATATAAAAATAACGACAACAATACTCAAAAGGAACCCTACTGCCTCTCCACATTTATAAAACTTTAAATACATGTGCTGTTTACATAATTCCACATTTTCCAGATATTCAGAAACAATAGATGTATTTCTATCCATCCTCTAGGTCCCTGACCTAATTACATTCTGGCTCACTGACTCATCAGCTTCTCTAGACTCCCTGTTGTCAGCTGGGTTTATAAAAGGAGCTGGAACTGGTGGATATGCGGCAAGAGGGAAAGGTTCGTTTTAAAGCCCTGCTTTCACATATAATCTCTGCCAAGTTTGCCCTTGTCTATCCATTTGGCCTGGAGCAGCAGTGGCATAGCATGGCTTTGATAAACTCTGTTCCCCACTGGCGAGGCAGGATCAAGTCAGTGGAAGGGCTGAATGCTCAAAAGAGACCGACAAGTGGAGCGAGTCTCACCAAACATTTATGCAGAACAAAGACATCATTTCTACTTGCTGACTCATGACGGGTGCAGAAAGTAAAGCTTTGGCTCAGAAAGTCAAAGGGGTAAAAAGTTTTAGTGCTGATAAAAGCATTTTATACCTTACAGTCTGAGGATCTACTGTATGCATCAAACTTAAGATTTAAATAATAAAAGTACCAACTGAAAACTTCTTATGCAATCAGTAACTGCTAGCAGAAGCAACTGTGTGAGAGTGGTTTCAAGGAGAACTGTACTGGCTGATCTATTTGACTCCACATATGGATACTGGACCAAAACCATTAACTATTAAACAACAATTGAAGCCAGTGTACAATTGTTTATGATACACTGTGTCTTAACAGTTGGCCCAATGGCAACATCTCATGTCATGTCTACAGTAATAGCTTGGCTGTCCATGAATATATGTGGCAGCCATTCACTACAGCTCGAATTCCTTCGCCGACTCCATTTAGACAGCTTGCATGGCTCCAACTCGGACACTGAACCCTGCAGCTTGAAGGATAAAGAAACTCGGACGGTTTACCAGTGTTAGAGACACAATGAAACATACAGTGAACATCCTGCTTTCAACAGTCACTGCTTTTCAAACATCTGTTATTGTCAACTTTGAGCATATTTTGATGAAGCCTTGTTTGATTCCATACCAGAATTTCACATACAAAATGAAGTAGGCGTGCACCCATGCTTAGTTAGAAATCACTAGTTTAATATCTCTTGACTTGTAGTTTGCATTTAAAGACTTAGGAATGGACTGACATTGAAACACCTGACATTTGACTCGCCCAGTAAGACTTAAGCATAGGCTGAAGAACATGTTGTTATACAAACACAAAACCCTTATATCATAAAAAAAATGGGTGGATGAATAACTATAGAGAGGCAGCACCTCCACATGCTTTTCTCTCTCCTGCTGCTGAACAGACTTCACACCAGACCCAAAGTGCTGCATTGAATATTTGACAGGGGTCTGCTTGAATGCACTCATCCCTTCTGGAAGTGGCAGGTTACATCAAGGGAGCGTCAGTTTTATCACACAATATCAACCACCAGTGTCTGCGTCACTCCCATCCTCTTACCGATGGCTGGTTGTCTTGTAAGTGGAGAATGACTGCTTGCTAACAGATGACTTGGTGCTCAGGTGATAGCTGCTCTCATAGTGATGCTGTTTCTTCTCCTGCTTCTGATGCTGCTGCAGCTGCTTCTGCTGTTTCAGCGCCACTTGCAATGATTCTGACATCCTGAGGTCCACTCCAGCCAACTTAATGTCAGACTGCCCGTTACTTTACCAGCCCTGTAAATCAATCTCATAGTTATTAGTATAGATTGACTTCTGATTTGGGAGTTATTTTAGGGCAGGAGGTAGTGATTAGGTATTAGGAAAGGCAACCAAATGTTAAAAATGGTTTAGAAAAGTTAAGATGGCGTTGCGATCTTTGTTTAGTCGCAACAGATGAAGCGTTAGCTCTACTTAAATCTAAGAATGAAGAAAAGGCAGCAGGTATTAAATAAACTCTGGCAGCATTTCTTTCTCATCTACATTTTTATTGTTTGTGTGTTCAAAAATAATATGAAAATTGAATTGATAATCACATCCATAAGTGAAAATATGAAAGACTTTTGCTTTCATTCATTTGCAGGCTTTGGCTGATTATAGTGATGCTACACTCACTGGGTACTAAGACTGCAACAAATGATTATGCTCACTATTGATTCAACTGTTGATTATCTTCTTTATTATTCAAGCATTAGAAAAATCTGAAAATGGTGAAAAGCACCCATCACAATTCCTATGGCCAATGCTGATATATTCAAAATGTTTATTTTGTCCAAATAATGCAAGTTTAATATGTTTTCAGTTTATTGTTGTAGAAAACAGCCAGCCATTCACATTTTAAGAAACAGAAATTACTAAATTTTTAACATTTTTTTCTTAAAAAACAAACTATAGATCATGAAAATTGTTTCTTTCTTTGAATCGCGTGATCAGTGAAACAACTAATAGTTTCATTCTGTTAGATGGCACAGGTTAGAGAGCGTGAAAACAGCCTTCATTGGCCCAATGCCATGAAACCAAAGATTAAATTAATTAAAATAATTTTAACATCTGCAATGTATGACAAGAGGCATGTATTTTCTAATGGTGCATAAAGAGAAGATCTGAGTATTGGTGGTTAGAGGTAAAGCACATGTTAATTGAACTGACTGTGTTCTTTTAGGATGAATCATCAGTATGACAGTATCTTAAATGAGCAAAACCCTGTTTGTATAAACAGCAAGAACAATGAATTAAAACTCTTAAAAAAATAATTATAGTGGTTAAAAGTAGACCCTACTGGTTGAGGCAATTAAAAGATGACCAAATGATAAAAACTACAATAACAATTACTCCTATTAGAGGCAGCTTTGTTTAGCCTAATAAAAACAATAATAAAATATATATTTATTACTCACCACAAGTAAAAATCCACTAATCCACAACAGCTGAAATAGGAAAAATTGTGTATTATTCCAAAAGTAGCTAAAGCAAGTCCAGATCCAGGCAAAGCAGCAGGGTGAGGGGCAGTGGACAGGACCACAGTCCACAGAACAAAAATAATGCTGCCACTCGGCAGAATGCACAAGACCCCGTCAGGACCTTTTAAGGCTGGGACAGTTTTAAATTTAGACCACAAGAAAGACCAGGGGAGCTGAGGAGTCTCTCCTACTAGGCCTGGCCCTCAGCTGTGTGCTGGTACAGGAGCTGCAGTGGCTCTTCCCTGAATGGGACATTTGTTCCAAAGCACACAACTTGTATTTATACAAACAGACAATGGACAAAGGCTTTGGAACCAGTGCCCTGTCTGAACCTAAATAAATGAAACGTGCCAAACAACTAGATCCAGATATTCATCGGCTAAATCTGATGGTAGGGCGACACCAAAATGTGACTCGTGCTTTTAATTTCTCTAAAAAATTCGGTTTGGCAATTGTTGTTAGGGACCGAGCTGCGGTAATTCTGTTGTGCATAATCGTGTAGTTGACCTGCACCACAGCGGTATATATATATATATATATATATGTATACATACAAAATCGCAACAAGATAAACCCTGGAGTAACCATACATCCATGTGAGTAATGCTCTGAACCATGGTGATATCAGGTATTGACTGCCACCTGCTGGTGAAACGTGTGAACTACGGCGTTTGTCAAATGGATAAAACAAGAGCTGTGCTTCTGCGGTTGTGTTCTGAACCTCTCATGTATGTAGACACCTCTGAATACAATGTAGTCCAGTACAACACCATGTTTAACTATGATCTCAATAATAAACATATCATTCATTTTATACATTTACGACAATTTCACCAAAAACTGAGTTGGCATTTTGAGCTTTATAAACACAGATGGTAAGAGACTGAAGTGCATGCATTTGTACAGGTGCGACTTTTAATTTTTGCCGGGTAGTGCAGAAGACGATCAATTGCAGATATAGACGGCTATAAAGGAAACGGTGGCGTAATTATGCTACACACTCCGGTACAGTAGATGGAGGTATGCGACTTTAAGTTGGTTTATAACCTGCCATTAAAATCGAGGAAGAAGAAGAAGCTGCAGAAGAAGAAAAAAAAAACTTCATGGGGTTATTAAAGAAACTTTATAGCCTTCTAAATACGTGCCTAAAAGAAACTAGGTTAGAACAGATAATTTATGTCATTATTATTATTACCGTATTATTACACTGGTAATCTAATAATCTAGTTCGATAGGTGGCGATAATGCACCTCTGCGCTGGATTTCCAACCGCTAATCAAAGCAAGAAGAAGAAGGAAAAACAAGAATAAAAAGCAGCAGTTGTATGCACAATCTGTGGCAATAGCAACTTTCTTTTTCTAAGGTGGGTAATTTATTTTTCTTATATCCAGTGGCCTCATAATGACGCACAAAACTGTATATTTTTCCTCTTAATTGACCTCGACGAGCTCGCTGGAGTCAACACTGGGCTAACGGTAACGTTATCTAGCTAATCGGTGACAGGTTTTGGGTCATGGGAGGTTGCAGAACGCTGTGCTACAGATGTTGCGGCACAAATATATAAGTGTCACAGTTAGCACGGTTATATCAATGTGATGGTAATTTGCATGTATTTTATTTATTTCTGGCCGCGAATGTCAGTGAGTGGCTGGCATTATTTTATTTATTTATTTATTTATTTATATTGCGACACAAAGTAACACATTAACAAAACAGGGCAGGACATGGGAGACAAGCCAATACATACAGGACATTACACGATTTAAACCAATAAATAAGTAATAAGGTGATTTCACTCACATTACTGTTATACTCATCCATATTTAACAACACAATTTTGTCATGATGCTGAAATTAGCTCTAGTTCACATCCTTCTTTTCAATTGTGCTACAGTAGGGGGGACCAACCAGCTGCCAATATGTCAAGCAAAAGGGCCAAGGGGAAGAACACCAAGAAGCGTCCCCAGCGTGCCACCTCCAATGTGTTTGCTATGTTTGATCAGTCCCAAATCCAGGAGTTCAAGGAGGCCTTCAACATGATCGACCAAAACAGGGATGGATTTATTGACAAAGAAGATCTTCATGACATGTTGGCATCATTAGGTAGACAACAATATAGTGATTTACACAGTGATGTGAAAACTCTTCAGTTCCTTTACTGAAGAAAAAGATGGCAACAGTAGTAAAAACGTGTTTTCTTGTTAATGTACTGAAATTGTACAAAAAATGAAATTTGACTTAATAGTGGTAACACAGGTAGCTAATAGCACAATGTTGGTGGTTAGTGAGCTTCCTAACACACAGGCAGCCCGGGTTCACTCTTAGATCTCATTACTCTGACCATCTTGTCCCAGGTAAGAACCCCACAGATGAGTACCTGGAAGCTATGATGAATGAGGCACCAGGTCCGATCAATTTTACTATGTTCCTGACCATGTTTGGAGAGAAGCTGAATGGCACAGATCCTGAAGATGTGATCCGCAATGCTTTTGCCTGTTTTGACGAGGAAGCCACAGGTGAGTGAAGTTAGACAAAAGTAAAGATTTCTTTATATTTCAAATGTGCACTGTACCTTGCAATGCAGTTTTTCTATTTGTTTGTGAATGTGCCCAAGGTTGGGTGAGCATTCCTATGAATACTGATCCTATTAAATGATCTTTTGAGAGTCCTTGCTCCGATGGTATGCATAATATTAAAGATCTGTTGCCCGCCCCCTCCTGCCAGGTGTGATTCAGGAGGAGTACCTGCGAGAGCTGCTCACTACGATGGGTGACAGGTTTACAGATGAAGAAGTGGACGAGCTCTTCCGTGAGGCCCCTATTGACAAGAAAGGCAACTTCAACTATATAGCATTCACACGCATTTTAAAACATGGTGCAAAGGACAAAGATGACTAGCGACAGAAACAGCACTGGTCAGATGAAGTTTATTCTTTAGACCCTGTGTATTGTTCATGTGTTTCCACTTAAGGTAGAAAAGTTCTATCCTGTAATTTGGCTCATGGCAAAGCTTCACTGTGGTATTACCTGCTGAAGGTCATTTGTTTATGCTGGTTGTTGAACCAGACCTCTGGACCCCCCTCCACACTTAAAGCTCACTTGCACATCAGTGATAACACTAGTAAGGGTCTGTATAAGGTTGTAAATGTGTATGTAAAGACCCCATGGATAAAGCTGGAAATAAACTAAAACAATGTCTGTTTTGGCTTTACTGAATCATTCGTATTTTATAGGAAATAAAGATTTTGAGATTTAAATTGTTCTGAGATGAACCACTGATGCTCTATTCATTTTTTCAAACATTTTTATTTTTAAAAGGAAAATTGATATGATGTATAATCTTAGTGATGGTTTAAAACACTTACATTACAGTTCACACAAATTTCAAGGATATACACCAGAGCAGTCATTGTATTAAACAAAAAGTTCCAACTCAGTGTAGCTTAATTAATAAATAAATACATACATGCTATGGCCAAAACTATGTGGACAATCTTGATTAGTTTTGGTCTTGGGCTTCAGCTAACCTAAACTTATTTTCTTGAATACTGTAAAAAATGTAACAAAATTGAAAACCACAATTATTTCCAGTAGGTGTATAATGATGTGTAAGACAATTGTGTGCTTTCCACTGTTTAGGGAAAGGGCCAGCTCCTGCTCCTGATGGTGGCCCTGTGCACAAATTAAGGTTCATAAAATGATAAGTGTTCCTAGGTTGACTGTTCCTAACAACCAACACCAGTGCCTGACCTCTAAAACACTTGTGGTTGAACAGGAGCAAATCTCTGCAGCCAAGTTTCAAAATCCTTTGGAAAGCCTTCCCAAAGAAAGTTGGAGCTGGTGGCACAATTCACACAGATGTCCACATACTTTTGACCATGTGCGTACAAAGTGTCATAGGAACACTCAGCAGTTCGTACGTCACAATGAGAAAAACAAAAAATGAGGGTTTTCTTTGTTAATGTAATTTGAACAGTCTTCTGACACCATCTTGGATAATTTGATAGACATTTGGTACAGTAGTGCTGTTCCACTGGTTTTAGATTCTTTAAAGGGATCTAGTGAATTTGTCACTATTCCATACATTTTAATCCTTTCAGAGTGTCTGTGGGTACATTATCTCAGAAAGCACCTCATATCTGTCTTCAGCTCAGAGAAAGTTTCCCAGATCTATGTAGCATCTGTGTTGTTAACCACCCCCAACCATCTCATACACATCACACCAACAATAGATAGGATCTGCTTCATACCTGAAGCTTTCCATGCACCTTGCAGTTGCTCACAGAGCAATGTATAGCACAAGATAAGGGACTTGTAGCTCTACTCAGCAAGGGCAAGATTTTTTGACTGGATCTTTGATAGGTGGTCTGATATACAAGCTTCGATCTTGTCACACTGAGCCAGGAAATCCTAGTGACAGAAAATAATCACACTTAATAATAATATTCAGTATTCTCAGTGAAACCTGTTGGTAATATTGAAAAGAGGTTTACCTGTACTGTTTTTACAAGTCCCTTTTTCTTCATTCTGCAGTCATTGAAATTTTCTGGCGCACTCTGGTAGAAAAGGAGCAGTCCGGGGTTTACCATATTTGACATATGAATAAAACATGCACTCAGAAATAAACTCCAAAACCAAAATATACTACCATAGCATCTATCTGCTCCAGGATCTTCATGAACTGCTCAGCTGCTATTTTCACTCTGTGGTCTAGTTTAGCCAATGCCTCTGCCTGGAGGTCTTTGGCCAGAAAGCCCTGGATAATAGTGATGAATTTCAATCAAATGATTTAAAACAAACGCATTTAAGAACCGAGAAAACTACGCAGCTTAAAGACTACAAATGAATGCTTACATTCTTGAGACCTGCCAACTCCCCATCTACTTTTTCCAGCTTTTTAGCCATCTGTTCCACAGACTTCTCAATGTCTTTCAGCTTCTTCAATTCGGCTTCTTCCTCTGGACTGTTCTGTTTCAAGATTACTTTCAGTATTTGATAACAGTTTCAGTCACAAATCAGACATCACAGATGTAAATGCCTTACCCGTTTTCCAATCATCATGAGCTTGCTGCCTTCTTTTATTCCATAGGTGGATAAACTCTCATCCATGTCCTTCAGGGATTTGCCTGCAAAGATAAACAAAGCACAGTCTGAGCTGGATGTTTAAGCTCACATGGCTGACAAGGAAAAGGGGCCAACAGTCTACCTTTGAAGATGAGTTTCTGTGAGGCTGGTGGAACTCCAGTGGCTTGACTGAGCGCCTCTGCCAGGTCTTTGACAGTTGGACCTTTGCCATCATCATGACCCGTTAATGTGATGCTGTGCTTAGTAGATCCTGAAATAAGAGGAAAAATAGAGCTGAAATTGAAAATATGTGCATCTTCCTTTCTAGACGATGACAGTGGAACGCTGTAGATCACTCAAACACAAGGATGACCATTCAGATTTATTATTCTCACTCTCTAGTTTTGCTATACTCTAAATGAGGCTTAAATTCTGTTAAACTGAATGAAGTGGAACCGAGTTACAGGTTAACTCAATGTTCTGATTATTCTATTGTTAGTCTGTTAAATGTTAAGGGGAAAAGCCTATCATAAGTTCCTGGAGACAAAGGTGACCTCTTTAACAATCCAACCAATAGCTGAAAATGCAAAGCTATTCCTTTTGTTTTTATATATGTTAAAGAAAATCTGAAATTCTCACATTTGAAATGGAGAGTTAACCTAAATCCACAAAACTATGGCAACTTCTTTGAGCTCAACTAATGAACTGTGTGCAAATGTAGTGAGAAACACTGGACAACACTTTTAAAGGAACAGGGTGGTCAGAAATTGGATTTAGTTTTTCGTCTGTATCCCGCAAAACGTTCTCTGTATAAGCTACTTATGGCATAATCGAAAACATTCATAAATCACAAACTGTGTTTATTAAAACAGTAATGTTTCTCTTGGGAGTTTGGGGATTGTTCACTTTTTATAAACCTTTGGTGTGTGAGAAAAAAATCAGAAAGGTGTTTATAAAGGGGAGTGATCGGGTAAATGCACAACTTGTGGATCAAGTATTACCAATAAAATATTACAACCAAAAAGAATTTTTTCCACAATAATCTCATACCGAAATGATTCTTAGAAGAAAGTCAACGGAAGACAGCTACAAATATCTGAACATGTTCCCGATAAAGCTGTAAAATATTAAATGTACTGAAATGACATGCATAAATTAGATTTTATGATATATATTCATTAGAGGGTAATATTTCACCAGTATTTTAAAGTGTACGAGTAAAGCTAAAAATTAATCTAAGAGTTAAGAATAGTCTATAATTAACGAAACCAAGTTAGCGGTAGCTACAGCATTAGCTGCTTCCACCTTGGTAAGAGCTACAACAGCTAACCATTTCCTAACTACTGGAGAAACAGTACATAGCAGTAGACTTCATTTTTCTGTCATTTGTCAATTATAGTATAACATCTTGTAAAATATTATTACCGTAATTAACTGTCACTGACATCGTTTGCCCTGACATTTTCGTTTTAAGCGCCTTTTAGTCACATCAAACCTACATGTGTCACAGAGCTAACTGTTGTTGATTGCTA